AGGACAGAATAAAAAAAGAATTTGACTTTTTAAATGTAAAATTTCCCAGAATCCCTGTTTTTTACGTCCTCCCAAAAATACATAAAGATGTTAATAATCCACCGGGGAGACCTATAGGGTCTAGGATTGGGTCGCTTTTATCACCACTTTCACAATATATTGATCAGTTTTTACAAGACCTTGTTAAGAAGTGTAAAGCATATCTTAAAGACACGATAAAACTTTTAAATATTTTAGATAATTTTGAATGGAAAGAATCTTATGTAATGGCTACCACAAATGTGAGCAGCCTCTATACTAACATCCAACATGACAAGGGATGTGAGGCTGCCACATATTTTTTTAAGAAAGTTTAGTGATCTGTCAGAGACCCAAATTAATTTTATTATAGATGGAATTAATATAATTCTAAAAAAACTATTTCTTTTGGTTTGATGGAAAGTTTTACTTGCAGATTAAAGGGACGGCGAGGTGGACCAGATTTGCCCCAAGTTATGCAAATTTATTTATGTCCTTTTGGGAGGACCTTTTTATTAACTCTAACGATCAATTTGGGGCAAGTCTGGTCCTTTACAACAGGCAGAAAGGCTGAAAGAACAATTTAGAGAAAAAGGGTATAAGGATATAAGGGTATAAAAAATTGATAGAAAACAACTTATACAGTATAAGAATAAAAATCCAAATCAAAATGAAGGAGAAAAAGTACCACTCATTTTTAATTTTTGTAAGAATAAACAGGATTTGAGAAAAATTGTCAATAGAAATTGGCACATCTTAAATACGGATGATAAATTAACAGATTTTATTGAAGACCGACCAAGAATTATATATAGGGGTGCGAAAAACCTAAAGCAAGTTTTAACTAACAGTTTTTTTTAGAAATTAATAAGGATAATTTTTTGAAAAAACTGAAGGGGTTTTACTATTGTGGAGAATGTAAAGGATGCAAAATGAGAAAAGAAAAAACACAAAAAGGTTTTAAAATTTATATCGAATACTAACAAAAAAGAGCATGTAATTATTTTATCTCCTGTAACAGTAAGGACGTTGTATATATGTTAACATGCCCTTGTGGGTTACAATATATAGGAAGGACCTCACGTTGCCTCAAAATTAGAATCAGAGAGCATATTTATAATATTAATCGTAAATTTGTTAACCACAGTGTTTATTAACATTTTATGGAATACCATAATAGTGATCCAAAAAATTTAGAATTTTTAGGTGTAGAGAGAATAAAAGTGCACTGGAGATGAGGGGGATAAAGAAAATTTACTTAATAGAACCAAAATGAAGTGGATCTTCAACATGGATACCTTAATACCACAAGGTTTAAATGTTGATTTCGAAATTACCCCTTATATATAATGTTTATCTCCATTAGAATTAGTATTATATTAATCTCCTTTTTCTCTCTACATATAGATCTTTATTAAATTTCTGTTATTATATATATTTGTTATATTGATGAATTTTTTATTATACTGATGAATTTTTAAATCATATTTTTAGACTATATATGTGTTTTTATTATGGACAATTTGCTTGCTTTAAGGGTTGATTTTAAACTCCATTTCATTTCAGTATCTCTTAATTGGATTAAATAGTCTTTTTTTTTTTTTATTCTAATATATGTTTTTTTCTCTCTTTTTTTTCTCCATTAATGTTAACTTTGCCTTTATGTATGGTTTAAAATGTACCATCAAGAGGTTATGTTTTAGGAGTAATGTTAGCGATCTATTGGTTATTTTAGCATTAATAATGTTTTTATAATGTTTTTATGATGAATATACAGTTAATATGTATTGATTGTGTTAAGGGATAGGGTTTGCCCATTTCGGACATTTGAAGAGACATTTCTCAAGGGCAGTTGCTATATGATTAGAGGGAGATCTGTCCCCTCAGAATGAACGTCATGACGCTTGGACGGAGATAGCCATGACGTCATAGAATAGAGACGGAAGCCGCCAAAGTAAACACCGGAAAGAAGGATGCAATGACTGTGCCGGAAGTGGGAACGTGGGCGTCATGATGTAACGGGAAAAGGCGCCAATACTTGGGATATTTAAACAACTAGAAGAAAAGGTGAAGGAGGAACTTTTGATAAAGGCATCGCCGAAACGCATCAAGTTCGATTTACAGCACAAGTGGACTTTACAGAGGTGTATATTTTATTATAATTATTTTTATTAGCTACCTTTTAGTGTGTCAAATAAAATTTTTGCATGATATTCTGCATCCTGGAATATTCTTAAGCAACAAGCAACTTGAAAGACCACAGAAGGGAGACAGCTTGGAATTTGATATCCACGTGCTTTCACCTGATTTGCTTCTAGTCTGAACCAGCTTTTATTAAGTGGCTCATGACCATGTGAGTGTAACCTTCTAAAATTTTAAGTTACACAGTAATCCTTACGTTATTACCCTATGTTGTGGCTCTCCCTGTGTTAATTTTACAGGATTGGTTTAAAAGGCACATAAGCTATTGATCAAATTGTGAATTACGGACTGGCCTAAACATTGTATCACCAGTATTCAACGTGTGCAATAAGGGTAATGTGCAATATTAATTAGAGTGCTCTCACCATCTACTCTTTATTGTAACATTAAGCTTTAGTTGTTCTGGTGACTATAGTGTCCCTTTAAACTTATATTTGATTGGGGATTTAAAAAAAAAAAAAAAAGCATAATGTGAAATTTAATCAAGTATTGTGATCTTCAAGGGATCTATACATTGCTTAGCAAATGGTATTGGAGAGAAATGATACTTTTTTCAAACCAGTTACAACAAAGGGACATGCATCACTGTTGCACATAGAAGGCTCGTTAATAAACTGCAATCTTTACGTTTGGATTCCAAATATTGTTGAATGGGTTAGGCAGTGGCTGAATGACAGGCATCAGAAGGTTGTAGTCAACAGAGTATATTCAAAGCAAGGTCCAGTTACCAGTGGGGTACCTCAAGGATCTTTACTTGGACCCATTCTCTTTAATATTTTTATTAGTGATATTGCAGGTGGTCTTGATGGTAAGGTATGTCTGTTTGCTGATGATACTAAAATTTGCAACAGGGTTGATGTTCCAGGAGGAATAAGTCAAATGATTTAGAAAAATGGTCAGAGCTGTGGCAACTGACATTTAATGTGGATAAGTGCAAGATAATGCACCTTGGACGTAAAAATCCAAAGGCATAGTATAGGATATTTAATACCCTACTAACCTCAACATCTGAGCAAAGGGATTTAGGAGTAATTATTTCAGATGACAAAAGGTAGGAAGACAATGTAATAGAGCAGCTGGAAATGCTAGCAGAATGCTTGGTTACATAGGGAGAGGTATTACCAGTAGAAAGAGAAATGCTCATGCCATTGTACAGAATACTGGTGAGACATCACTTGGAGTATTGTACGCAGTACTGGAGACCGTATCTTCAGAAGTATATTGATACTCTAGAGGGAGTTCAGAGAAGAGCTACTAAACTGATTCATTGATTGCAGGATAAAACTTACAAGGAAAGGTTAAAGGAACTTAACATGTATAGCTTGGAGGAAAGACAAGACGGGGGGATATGATAGAAACGTTTAAATACATAAAGGGAATCAACACAGTAAAGGAGGAGACTATTTTTTAAAAGAAAGAACTACCACAACAAGAGGACATAGTGTTAAATTAGAGGGTCAAAGGTTTAAAAATAATATCAGGAAGTATTACTTTACTGAGAGGGTAGTGGATGCATGGAATAGTCTTCCAGCTGAAGTGGTAGAGGTTAACACTGTGAGGGAGTTTAAGCATGTGTGGGATAGGCATAAGGCTATCCTAGACTTAAGATAAGGCCAGGGACTAATTAAAAGTATTTTGAAATATTGGGCAGATTAGATGGGCCGAATGGTTCTAATATGCCGTGACATTCTATGTTTCTACCACTTTGAGAGAATTGTTTCTTTCAAAAGCTTCAGCTTGAATGAGACAGATGCATCACTCTACAGCAGGGGTTCTCAACCCAGTCCTCAGGACCCCCTACCAGTCCAGGATTTGGGGATTACCTGGGTGTGTCTCAGGTGTTTAGAAAAAGGGAAAAAAACACCTTAGACTCTAAGGTGTTTTTTTTTTTCTAAACACCTTAGACACACCCAGGTAATCCCTAAACCCTGGACTGGTAGGGGGTCCTGAGGACTAAAGTTGAGAACCCCTGCTCTACAGGCTGAAAAAAAGTCACTGTCATTCGTGGTTTGGTCTGGAACGACGATTAGTGGATAGGGGGGTGGGGAAGGCTGAAGAAATTCCATAGCTGAGAGGCGTGCCAAACAATATAATCTGACCAAGTTTATAAACTTATTATATACTTATCAAAGTATTTTCTAGGTTTATTTTGGTTTGTATTTTTGTTTAAAAGTGTTTGCTAGCTTAAAACAAATAATCAAGTGATGCATGTCCCTTTTCATCTCATTTTAAAACCTGCTGTACATTACCATTCTTTTAGTGCACACAGTGACCAGGAAAAATAAGTTATTCGAATATATGCACACTGAAGACATTTCTTGGTTTTGAGTATAAAAAACAAAAAAAACCCTTTCACTTTAATTTGCCCAAACATTCGTGCCATTAGGATGTAAGAGTATAAAATAAAAATCCAGTTAATATTGTTTTAGTACAAATGTTACAAGAATAATTCTACATTACAGCATACAAATTATCTCCAAATCTATATGGATCCTAGAGGATTTTAGAGTATATACACAAACTAAAGATAAATCATGAGGCTCCATCACTCAGTTTTATTGATGTAGAGCGATTTTTTTGTATGTAAGATCAAGGCATCACTGCTGTTTAAAAAAAAAAAAAAAAAAAAATATTAAAAAGGAGTGTTTGAGACGGCCAGTTTCTGCAAAGTGTCACAAAGTGTCCAAACTTCTGTCCTTGGTTCTTCACCATAGCCAATGTTTGTGACTTGTATGGCAGTGCAGCACTTCTACTGTTGATGCTACATTAAGACAAACACAAGGCAGGGAAAATAATTGTACAATAAACAATAAGGACAGCAAATATCTGGTTAAAAGCACTTGTTTATTGGTTACAATATCAATTCATGGCAACATATTGGTTTCACTGAGCCACTGTACAAATACAAAGAAAAAAAATCAATTGTGGAAAAATATAAACAAAACGTTTATAGCAAGTGATTATTTCACAGGGAAATTCTTTATACAACAGCAACGGTTAAAAGAAAGAAAGGGGAGGAAAATAAGCATGGCATGTCCCTGGTTTCTAATTGGCTTAAAACCTTTAAAGACCGTTTTTAAAACATACACAATCCAAAAGGCAGTGCAGAATTAATTCATAATTGATATTTATAAAGCCTTTTGTCAAAAATCAGCAACACGAGTAAAAATGTTTATAGAATGAATGTGCTCGATTTTTCTCTTCTTCAATGTGTTATATTACAGCAACAAAACATGTTCCTTCAAAAAGCAACTAAATGTTGGACTTCTATGGATATTAAGTGTAATAACGCATGTGTTAGATGCTTTTTTTCCTCTTTTTTTTTTTTAATCGATTTTTTTATTTTATATATATTTTTTTTAATTATTATAATTTTTTTATTTTTTTTTACTTTGCCTTTCCCAATCCCCGGGAATGGAGAAACACACAGGATTAAGCACCACTATGTAAAGAAAGCATTAAAAAGGCTGTAAAGATCTAGAACTAGTCTCCACTGAAAATCCGTATTATTCGAAACCTAGCATACTGTGTGGTCGAAGATTTTGTGAGGCACATGTAATGTGTTATCTCAGGTTATATCAAATCTGTAACACTGTTTGCACATATTACCATACAACACTGCATTAACATTCTGTATGTATTTTATACAACCAGCAATTCGATACAAACAGAAGAGACAAGGCTTATGGTGCCTCTACGGTTGAGGAAGATATTTTCACTAGCATGCACGCCAGATTATACAAAGTGCACCATTACCCATGCTTCGTCACTTGGACATGAAATGAAACCAAATTCCGTTACTTGACTAGAAAAATCGTGCGGGAGCGACAAATATTCCAGATTTCAATTGGCTTGAGCTTCTTTGAGAGAAGTGTCACAGTACAGTACTACAAATTTGACTTTTGATGCAACTTGTCCTTCATAATAAAGCGTTGGAATGTATTGAGAGGTTAGCAGTTTCATTTATGAAATAGAACAAGACAAAAAAAAAAAAAAAATTGGAATAAAAAGTGGAAAATGGAACTAGTGCTACTGACCCGGCACCGATTTTAGATTCAGTACCACCAATCTAAAAGAAAACGGTTTTAACCACCCAATTGTGTTCGATCTTTTTGATATACTTTGTTGGTTGACTGAAGGGCCTGCCAAGTCCTATGTTCATCCAAGTTTTAGACCCATCTTGGGAAAATTGGCACTTTCAAAAAAAAAAAAAAAAAAAAAAAAAAAGTCTTTTACAGAGAACAATATGAATATTTTCTTTGCAAAAAGCAGTTCTTTAACATCTTCTGGAGCACCGATGATATAGGTGGTAACTAAAGCCACTTTTGAAAGGTTGGCATACTAACCCAACATGTCAAGATAGCACCCTGAACAAGAACTATAAATGGATTCCCATTTAAATTCACAATCCGCTTGAAGAAGGCAAAAAATTAATTACAGCTGGAATGATTACAATGGTTCATATATTGGCACATTGTGAATTCCATAACTGATCAGAAACACAAAGCTGTAGCTCTCTGAATCATTTTTAGTAATTTAACCATTGCTCTTGGCACCTCCATTTCACAGTAGCCGTATACTGACATACTGGCGATCAAAAAAGTTTACATTTCTCTTTAAGCCACAATACACAACATATACTGGGTACTGGTACTTAGTCTACTAAGAAACCGCATGTTACAATGTTTTACTCGATGGTCAGAAGGATGTCAAACCTGTTTCTAGCTTTTCACATTTACCTTTTGAACATACCAGAAAATTCTGCTTACAATTCCCAATCATTTAACACAAGCTTAGGAAATAATAATGATAGTACATAATGTCCTGGCAATTTAACTAGCAATATACAAAACCGGATCAGGAAAATAAAATCAGATTTCTGGATCTCCCCACTGCTTTCCAAAACTAACAGCTTTACCTTTAATACACCAGGAATGCAGGGGTTGGGGGACACAAGGTTACAAAAGCCAGACTAACACAGTGTCATGACTTTGCAGCTTGGTTAAGTGTATTTAAACATCAGATTGAACAAGAAGGATATATTGTGTGCTGAATTCTGTTTGATCTCAAAGTTCTGCTCACCAGGGATACCTCTGCTGACTTTAATAGTTTGCAAGATATTTTACTTGCCTTCAGTGACAGCAAGAGTGCCAAACAATGGCGGTGACACTAAGGATGACAGGCAAACGCAGTATTCCAGCCCAGTATTGTTTTTCATAATTTAACAACCGTGTAATAGGAGTAGCTTCACAATACTGAGGATTCTGTATGGGTAGAATTTATTGGCACATTCATGATTATAAACATGACAAGAGGCACAGATTAAAAGATTAAATTTCAGCGCATGGGCTCTGGTTAGAATATCAAAGACTTATTAGAAGGGCAACGCATTTTGGCACTGTTTTAAGGGACACTGACTGTGTAAACAAAGTTCCCCATCAGGTAGAAACTGTTTAGGGTTACTAAATGAAAAAAAAAAATTCAATGAGTTTTTAAATTGGGCACCAACTTCAACCAGGTATACCCAGCTGAGTTCTCTCATTTAAAGAGGTTTAGAACAGGACTGTCTTGGGTAACTATTTTACTAGAATTACTGCATCACTTACAGCATTAAGTAAAGTCACAAGCAGGGAAAGACAATGTAATGCCCTGTTGAGATCTTAATACCAATGGTAAATAGAAATTTATTTACATTAAATTAGTGAATGTGACTGACAAAGCACTATTATTAGACTAAATATTAAAGGGTTTACAGTTCGATTTTCTTACATATTATTCCTGATGATTGTCAGGTTATTTGTTGGAAATTAGTGGTTTCAAAAGCCGACCCAAAAAAGAAAAATATTGCAAAGAAAAAAAATAAAAGTAGTTAATGTTTCAAGTTTCTTTCAGTGCAGGTAGATGGGAACATTAGCAATTTACATTAGTGCATTCAGGTCAGGAAACAGAATAGTGGGTTTAATTTTCCTGCATTCTCAAGGGACTGAGATACCTGTGACTGCACAATGGAATCAGTATCACAGTACACCACAAGTTAATCTGGTTGTAATACACGCAGTCACACTATAGGGAGGTGAGGAAACAGATTCACTAACTGGCCTGTCCTGTGTCTAAGGGGAAGATATACTATAACTTGATGGACACATATACAGAGCAATGACTTAATTTTATCCACAGCAAGGTCACAAAAAAAGGAAACAGCAATCAAGTATATCCAACATTATACTACTCTGCTGTTCAAAGCTACAATTCTTATTTATTTTTTAAATAAAAAAGGCATTTTTGTTTGTTTGTTTTTTTTGTCTTTTCTTGTTTTTTTTGTCATTTAACATATAAACATTACATGTTCAGCTGCTATAGTGTGTACATTCAGGTATGTACAAAAAATAAAAATAAAATAAAAGCTAACAAAAATAAAGTACAGACTCAGCAGACTTTGAGCACAAAGCAGAAATCCTTTAACCGTGTGGCTGCTGTAAAGATCTACAATGCAAAACTGACTTTACTAGCAGCAAAAGGGTTAAAACAACTTAACCAAACCACAAAAACAAAGACTGGCTCCTAGATTCTTGGTCACCATGATCCTGTGTGCTAGCCCCTTTTAAATAGTCACCAATGCTCTTTCCCCTTTAAAACCTTATGACTTCACTTGATTTTACTAGTTTAAAGAAAGCCTTTTGTGTAATAATAATCAGTGAATAGAAAAAACTTCACCTGCAAATACAAGGTAGAAATGTTATTTCACAGCTATAGGCTGCAGCATTGACCTCTCCAGATCTCGGTGGAGAATTTACAAGATCATTCTCTTTCATCAAGTTAATTCCAGATTCTGAGAAAACTGTCCCAAGACCCTGTAGCTACAGCCATGCCATCATCGGTTACACCTAAACAGCTCACACGGTTATCGTGGCCAGCAAGGACTCCTGAGGACAGAGAACACAAAAGGTTATTTGTCATGTTTCAGATACTGCCTAGAATAACACAATTTTTATGAAATAAGGATATTGGACAAAAAAAGACAGTCCATATGGATGATATCCCCATTTTTCTTTTGCAGGGTTATGCAAAAGCTGCATACAACATGGTTGTTTTACAATGGGGTGTTCAGTTTTCATTTCAACCAGCCATGGTAACAAACCTGTGCCTCTACCTTATGACTTGTTATTGAACTACAGTTGGAGAGGTACTTTGAGCCTCTGGAAGCATTCCTAGCTAGATCATGTACTGAAATGGGCAAGGCACGCATATCTTTTACAAATCTCTGAAGTAGTATAAGCTTTATATGGTGTTGGAACACCTCCTAAATGACTCATTGAACTTGTCTTACAAACAGTGGTTTTAGGATATTCGTCTGTTGAATAAATTTAATTTGTTCAAAGTGCCAGTCATCTGACATTACTTCACACCAAATGCAACTTCAACTCACCGGCTCTTTCACCCTTCAAGGTGTCCCATACGTTGCAGTTGAAGTCATCGTAGCCAGCTAACAACAGGCGACCGCTTTTGGAGAAAGCTACTGAAGTGATACCACAAATGATGTTGTCATGGGAGTACATCATCAGTTCCTGGTCTGCACGCAGATCAAATAGACGACAAGTTGCATCATCCGAGCCAGTGGCAAAAGCATATCCATTAGGAAAGAACTGTAAAAAATGTCATACACTATAATCACTTGCTTTTAGAACTGTATGTGTCCAGTTCTTACATTCAGTGCAAATCGCTATACATTTTTACTATGTAAACAAAATATCCTACAGTGAAGACTGGGTCCCAGTGATTATGTGGGTATCAAATTTACACCAGGATATTCTCATTAAGTAATCACCGAGTGAAAGCCTACTGTTGGAGTATGGTGGAAGATGGGCTTCACATTAAAAATGAAATGCACAACTAAAATATTATGAGAAAGTTTCTTAATTTTTTTTTTACTACTGCTTACATTGTTAAATGTACTGGTATTCACTCACTTACAGCAGCACTGTTACGTCTTTTTTTTATATATAGGCACTATTTTACATTAGATGATATTTGGCAAAAGGTGTCAACTGGTAGAACGATGTCTAACTATGACAAAAAGGAACAGGCATCTTCAAATATTATGTACAATAGAAGCATGTGACAACCAACCATAAATATGGAACCAACTGAACGCACTATGGTTGTTAAAGGAACACTATAGCATTAGGAATACAGGCTTGTATTCCTAACACTAAAGTGCCTCTGTCCCTGTTCCAATACAGGTCTCCCCCCTATTCATCATAAAAAAATAAAATAAAAAAAAAAGAAGTTTTGCTTACCTTTTTCCAGTGCAGAGACTTTTGGCGCTGCTCATCTCTCTGCCTAATGTGACATCATCTAGGATGTATCATTCCCTCCACGATGGTCCAACCCAATGCTCCTCAAAGTAGAGCATTGGGGATCGGATGTGCATGAGCGGCAGGTGCCACCCACACTTCCCCATAGGAAAGCACTGTGTTCAATGTGTCCTATAGGCCTTCGCATCACATGAGAGAGTTTTACTTTGTCAGTGCCGTCTAATAGCCTCTAGTGGCTGTCAGGAAGGATTTAACCCTGCAAAGAAAACCGTGCCGTTTTTACAAAACGGCAATGTTTTACATTGAAGGGTTAAAAGGACATGGGCACTGAATTAAGATCACTTCCTCAAGATGAATTGGTCTGGATGAATATAGTGTCCCTTTAACATTATAACCAAGTACACAATTATATTCAGGTACAACTAAAATATAATTAACTATAGCTTATTAATTTGTGTTTTATTACTGCTTACAATTGTAATAAAAATTATTCAACCCCCAGGTTTATTGTCAAAATTTACAGACTTTCAGGGGGGCGGGGCCTGACCAGCATGGAAGACAGACGTGCCACTGCAGAGCTCCTCAGAACACAGGGCAAAACACGACGTTTCAGCCCTAAAAGCTTTAAAAAAGAGAAACCCAAATGGTCTCATCTGACCCACTAAAGGGCACTGAACCGACCATGCAGCCTGGGATCACTCTGAAACCGGCTGGCAGACCGACTTGCACCATGAGGCCTGGCGACCGTGGAGCGGGAGAGGCGGCCGATCCCCCGGTCCGGTGCCAAGAAATGCTGACACAACGCAAGCAGGAACCCTGTTACCCCCCCTCCCCCTGGACCGTCGGGGGTGATCACGGTCCACACCTGAGAGACAAAACGAGACTGGAGCGGGAACAGTGGGGAAAAGCGCAGGGAAGCATGCAAAAAGACGCTGCACCCAACATGGCGGACGCCACGCTTCCCCTTGAACCTACAGACCCACAGTATGAGACCCGGCAAAGACTGGAAGCACTCTTCGACACTTTCTGGCGCAAGCTGGAGGCTAAAATGAAACCGACGGCCTCACCACAAATAAGCGAGAGGCGTAAAAGCAGCAAGCATGGCGCTACCAAGAGGGCCGCCGAGCCACAACCCAAACACAGCAACTCGGGCCTACCAGCGCAAAACCTGAGGGAGGTCTGTAAACCCAAACCAAAAACCAAACCAGCAGCGCCCATCAAAAAGGCGTACAAAGCTGCCGCCCTGACTACCTGGCATTCTTCTGGGCTGGGAGCCCATCAGGGGCTTAACCCATGCCGTCCATACACCCGTGGGGACACCCGGGACAGGGAGAACCCGCGGGCCCCCGAGCCAACCACCGTGTCTGGAAGGCTCCATGGTCACAAGGCGGGGGCTCTCGCTAAGGTCCGGAGCCAGAGTCTGGGGAAATCGAGCCGCAGCCGGAACGCCCGAACAGTACGGCGAGTCCACTACCACACGCGCATACAGACCCCAGCCAGGAGAAGCAATACTGACCTGTGGACATTGCCTCTGAGCACCACTTATGACCTGTGGATACGACCTTTGAGCACCACCCACGCTTCACTTTCAGGCACCAGGAACATACCGACTATGGGAGTCTGCTGTCTTTCGGGAACGCATTGGGGGCTAGCCTGCTGCCTTATCACCACCTCCATCCCACCCCAGCGGACACTATCCTGCTTATATTGTACCAACCTTGTTGATTTAAGTGCAAGCATGTTTACTCTTTTGGTATGCTATCCCTAATGGTCAATGTCAGCCAAATAAGCCAAGCAATGTCCCTTTAGACTAACTTGCCTAACAGAGTTCTAAAGTGTTTAAGTTGTTTAAGATTTGAGTCCCATATCTCAGCATCCCCCCCCCCCACATATAGGTCATACTACCAATATGCCTTAAGCTTCAGTCTATAACACGAGTAACAAGCCTTCCTAATTTCTTATTTTATTTTACTATTTTCTCTTATTATGTTTAACATGAGACCTGCATATTTAACTATAAGCAAAAGTGTACTTAGCTATGACACTCGAAGTTATATGTATACATGACCTGGCGTGTCGAAAATACACTCAACTACCATATGCCATAGCCTAACTTGTTTATACTCTAGCTATAAGTAACAATGAGGCATTGCGAATCAACAAATGTTTAAACGTTTATTGCATGATGTATGAAATACAAACATTTTAGCACCTACCACACGTCTCACAAGCATGCATATCTCGATGCTAAAGTGTATTTTCTAGACAGTGCAGTGAACTAGATCAGTAACAATCGGTGACCAAATACTTCTGTGATTATAGCCTGCAAACTCCTAGTTATATACTGTGTTACTTTACTCTTGCTCATGTAAGTTTAGTATAATTATTTTCTGTTTGACTAGCTTATGACATAGCGTAAAACCCTTCTATCTAGAAAGATACAAGCGATGTTGTTCCGTGTTATGCTTTGAAATGCTTAAGCAAAGTAAATATATACTGATCATAACATTATTAACCCCCAAAAATGTGCTGGATCCAAAGTCTACCCTAATGTTTAAACTGTTTATCATGCGCTAGAGGACTGCCTTTGGGGTACCTAACAAGCGACTGTTATTATCATATGCACAACTAAAATAAAGAATTAGGGGGGCGTGGCCAGCTTCGGAGCAAGATGGACGCATAATTCTCCTGCTCCGGCATCTAACACCTAATCTATTGCAATCCTGAGCAGTAACTACTCAATTTTCACAGAGTGCCGACAATGTCACACCACAAAAGCAAAAAAAGCTCCGGGAAACCGGACAAGCTTAATTTTTTCAGCCAGAAACAAGTGCTGGCGTCTGTGGCTGCGCAGGCCTCAAATCTAGATGGAGGCATGGATTCTGATGGCGGGCCCTCTATACAAGATCTGCTAACTCCGTCCGAAAATGCCCAAATTACGAAGACTGATCTAGCATTGGCACTAGACAGCTTGTCTGCTAAGCTGATATCATCATGGCAACATATGGCAGACTCTCTGAGGAAGGATATACAAGAGCTGGGACGACGAACTACTCACATGGAGGACAAATATGACGAGTTCGCCACGGCCCATAACGATCTGGCCTCGAATGTGGAACACATGGCAGCCAGGATAGATGCTCTTGAAGGGAAAGTGGAGGATCTGGAAGACCGCTCTCGTCGGAATAATTTACGACTGAGGGGTATCCCAGAGGAGGTCACTACTGAAGACCTACCAGCATATGTGCGGGGCCTACTGCATGCCCATGCCCCGGAGATACCGACAGATATGCTGCTGGTAGACCGAGTTCACCGCATCCCCAAGCCCAAACACCTTCCCCAGGAAGTGCCGAGAGATGTACTAATGAGGGCGCATTATTATCATATAAAAGGAGCACATCCTTCGCGGCAGCAAGATGAGGGCCACACCACCGCCAGATTATCCTGACATCAAGATATATGCTGACTTATCAGCGGCAACACTAAGAAAGCGGAAGGCATTTCATCTGATTACAGCTACCCTGAGAGCGCACGGTATTAAGTACAGATGGGGCTTTCCCACTAAGTTATTGATTGCCAAAGATGGAGGAATCACCGCCCTAGCAAACCCAGACGAGGGGGCAAAGCAACTGAGTGCCTGGAATATACAAGTCGCACAGACCATGTCAACGGCCAAACCCGTGGGGAAACTTACCACGGAATGGAAAAAAGCCGCCAAGAAACATTAAATCCAGCCAGAGTCTGATTAAGGGATGTGGGACCAGCACACGTTCTGGCCCGGGACTCCGCGGAGTGACTGCCCTTGAGTGAACCCCCCGCGCCGTCTCCCCTCCGCTTGGGGACGGACTGGATGTCTGGAGCGGGGGAGGGAGTGATCACGAGAGAGGCCGGGTCTGGGGTTCCCCGCCGACCCCCGTGACGAGGCGTGCGCAGAGCGGGACCGTCTGCGGGGGCCCCCGGGCCGGGCTGGAAGAAGGAGGTAGGGGCTCTTCCTGTTCCCCTGCCGGTTCCCCCCTTGCCCTATGTTTGGGCCCCCCGGAGTTGTGGACTGCCCCGAGGGTGGATATGGTCAGGCATTCGGCCACAGCACGGCATCACTGAATACGGACACTGCCAGCTGCCTGGAGAGGAAGCAGCTGCCCTAGGCCTGGCTGCAGACATGTCGGACAGTGAAAGACTGGTAGTCATTGGTGGGGCGGGGGGCTCCGGGGGTCCGGGGTGGGGCGGGAGGTGGAGCGAGGGGGTCTATTATGGATCTATCATTGGTCAATAATTGTTTGATACGGTTGAAATGATGAGACAGTAGGGCAGGGTGACCGTCTGAAGGCAAACTTAGGCCGCGGAAACCATCTGCGCTGTACCCGGGGGCATGGACGTGGGCGGGGCCCGACTACATCCCACTAAACTACTGCTCACCACATAAACGGAAGTGTCAGCTGCGCCGGCAGTGTAGGCACATACATAGAGGTGCATACAGCCACGCTAATGGAGAGACAACATCTCCATAATACCCCAGATGTGGATGATCCACATGCAGTCTCCTTGGGAGATGATTTGTACATAGTTCTCACGTTTTCCCTTTCCCCTCTTGTTTTCCCTCGTGTCGGTCAGGCAAACTATAACATATTACTAAATACAACGGCTCACAGGCCCATGCATCACTGCTTCCCTGCGCAGACGGGCGTCTGGCCTGGGAATCCAGCTGAAGAGGTAGCCCAACACCTAGACTTAGCATACAGGGTTATCCCCTTGGCACTTTGTGCTGCTGTACTGGTACCTGTTATACTACTTAGAAGTCCAATATCACTAAGTGATCTATGAAAATACAAACAATTAATGTTCGCGGCTTAAACACGCCGCACAAACGACGGCTCCTCCTGGAGGATGCCAAGCGTCAGCAGTCAGATATTCTCTGTATACAAGAGACCCACTTCGCACATAATAAGGTACCCCACTTTGCCACTAAAGATTACCCCACGCAATATCACTCCACATATGCTTCTAAATCCAGAGGTGTTTCCCTGCTCATCCACGCATCACTCTCATTTGAGCTCTTTTTAAAAAAAAAAAGATACACAGGGTCGATTTCTTATACTACATTGTAAAATTAATTAAGTTGTCTATACTCTAGTGGGAATTTATAGCCCCAATGACAACCAAGGGAACTTCCTGAGGAAGGTGCTCTCTAAACTCCCTAATACGGTGCAAGCGTCCACGATTATCTGCGGGGACTTAAATCATGTGTTATCTGCCAGCATGGACACCACTGCTTGGGCACAGGCACATAGACACAGAGTGGTGGAAAGACAGGCAGATCTCCTGTTAAAACTCCTGTCGGAATACCAACTATACGACGTGTGGCGAGCACAGCATCCGAACAGTCGGGAATTTACCTTCTACTCACAAGTACACAAAAAGCCACAGGATTGGGGACCTATTACCCAAAGCCACGCAAAGTGAAATAGGGAATATAGTATGGTCGGATCACGCCCCGGTGCATCTGACGCTGGAAGATACCTTCCCTTCGCGGGGGGCGGCCACGTGGCGCCTAAATGACTATCTCCTCTCCAACAGGGATTTGTTAGCCAAATTAAAAGAGGAAATAAACGCCTTTTTTGTATTAAATAGTACTACAGACACCGCCATCACCACACAATGGCAGGCGCACAAGGCAGTAATCAGAGGTCTGCTAATTAGTCACACATCTTATCTTAACAAAAAATCCAGACAGGAATACATAGATCTTTTGAGATCCCTAAGGGAAGAAACCTCCAGGCAAATCAAAACCCCAACGCCATCCACTCAACAACGCATAGAGGCCCTACGAGGGGAATTAAATGCTAAACACTTGCGGACAACGGCCCTCATGGCATACAAACTAAAACAGACGACATACACACAAGGGAATAGAGCGGGGAAGACACTGGCAAGGCTACTAAGGCAACAATGACAAAATGCAAAAATCCCGTATCTCCTTGATAACATAGGGAATAAGATGTATAACCCTCAGGCGATTAATGATCAATTGGCGGATTATTATGATGGTCTTTACAATTTAAAAAAGAACCCAGGCACACACCAGCCATCCCAAGCGGAAATAGACCTGTTCCTACACGGTATCCAGCTACAGCAGCTTACACACCCAGACCAGATATCACTAGCAGAACCCATTACATCTTCAGAGATTGAAACCACGATTAAATCGCTTCCTAAGGGAAAATCCCCTGGCCCAGATGGTTTCATGAATCTCTACTACAAAACCTTTTCCCATACGCTCGTCCCCCAATTAGAGAAATTGTACAACCATATACGTATCACCGGCGAAATCCCTAAAGAAATGCTCTTAGCGCACATAACAACCCTGCCAAAACCCGGCAAACCACCCAATAGAAGCCAAAATTTACGCCCCATATCGCTATTAAACACGGACTGGGGTCCATCCTGCCCAGGTTGATAAATGATGATCAAGTTGGGTTCATACGGGGGAGGCAAGGCTCAGACGGGACCAGGAAGTTGATTAATCTTTTCCATACTATACGGAGAACCGGAGTCCCGAGTGTGGTACTGTCACTGGATGCTGAAAAAGCATTTGACAGGCTACACTGGGGCTACCTACAATCCGTACTCATGAAGCTAGCCTTCCCGGAATGCTTTATTACCCTGGTATCGGCACTTTATAGTAACCCCACTGCAAAAATATCTAATGGGGGCTTCACCTCCAAACCCTTCTCCATTTCCAACGGGTCCAGGCAAGGGTGCCCACTATCCCCCCTCTTATACATAATAGCGCTGGAGCCTTTAGCACAGCATATACGGAACTCACCAGGTATTCATGGGATACTAGCAGGAGGGATGGAACATAAAATTACACTTTTTGCAGATGACGTAATGCTCACGCTATCTCAACGAGAGACTTCCCTCCCCAAGCTACAAACTGTCTTAACACGATTTAGCAATTGCTCTTATTATAAGTTGAACACAACAAAAACGCAAGCCATGGGCCTCAACATAACCAAATCCAAACTCCTGGAATTAAAAACCACCCATGCTTACGATTGGCAACAGTCCCACTTAACCTTTTTAGGGGTCAATCTCACACCTCAAACAAACCAACTATATAAGGCTAACTATCTGAAACTGCATAACTCAATTAAGCAACAGCTCTTAGCTTGGAAACACAAATACATCTCGTGGACGGGTAGAATAGCTGCCATTAAAATGATGGTCCTACCAAGGTGGCAATACCTTTTCCGAACCTTGCAGATTAGGTTACCGAGTACTTTCTTTAAAGAGTCTCAACAAGTGATAACTCAATTCATCTGGGGAGGAAAGAAACCTAGGATAGCGGCTGAAACTTTGTATAAACCATTTAGGGAAGGTGGCCTGGGGTTGCCAAACATAGCACGGTATTACGCGGCGGCTGTGATGAGTACACTGGTAACTACCTACTTTGATAAAAAGCCACGGAAGTGGAACTCTATAGAATCCTCGCACATAGGGGGCCTTTCCCTGCCCACAATGGTTTGGTTGCATAGACCGAAATACAACAATATTAGTCCCACCACGGCAGCAACGATTTACATATGGGACAGAATCCTTAAAAGGCACCGAAGCGATACTTACATATCCCTCGCTATGCCGATACAAGCCTTACAATTTTATATTCCTAACTTTGACTATAGGTTGTGGCACAAACATGGGGTAACATATATATATATCAAATCGTAGCAGAGGGCCGTATCCTGGATTTTAACTCCATAATCCAATCTTATCGACTTCCAGAGAAAGCACAGTACTCGCACATGCAATTACAATCTTGGGCACGACGGAATCTCAAAGGAGATGTCCTACAACAGCGCAACTCCTTGTTAGCAGAATTGGAGAAATTGTGCATAGCCCCGAAACTTTCCCCCAAATTGCTGTCTGTAATATATCAGCAACTAACGAAATACGATAAACTATGGAGACCATCGTTTCTGAAGGCTTGGGAGAGGGATCTCCACAAAAACATATCAGACAAACAATGGGCTGACATATTCCTCGCACACAAAAACCTCACTCTCAACGCATCCCACATAGAACTGAGTAGGAAAGTGTTGTATAGGATGTATATGGTCCCCACAAGGGTGCACAACATAGCTCATGAAAGATCCAACCTGTGTTGGAGATGCCGGACGGAATCCGGATCTATGCTCCACATTTGGTGGTCCTGTCCACGACTTGTGGAGTTCTGGAAGGATATTTCAACCACGATACAGGCAGTAACAGGCAAGAAACTTACTCACAACCCAGAGACATACTTACTTTTAGCACTGCCGAGGAGACTTCCCAAAGCCACTCTACATCTTATGTACCATATTATCATTGCAGCCCTAGCGGCAATAGGAAAGATGTGGCTCAGGGACACTCCGCCGGAGATTGGGCAGTGTTTGAACGAGGTGGACACCACAAAACAATATGAGTTAGAAACAAGACGCCTAAGACCTAAAGTAGAGACATGGCAAGCAGCATGGGCCCAGTGGGACACTTGGCGACAACAAAACTCAACTCACTAAGGCCCAGAGGCTCAGAGCCCTTAGCATAGACTTTTATTACTGAAGGACCGACACCTTGCCCATAATTGACCCTAACCTTTTCCTAGTTTCCCCAACCCAAGTTTCTAGAGGATGGGTATGATGTAAAAAGACGGAAATGACTGAGGCATTGACATACGGGTGATGATACCGAGGTTCCCTACACCTTGACGCTTCCCTGTTGACATATGAAGTTATACAAGACACGAGAAGCAAGAGTGATAAACACTTGGCCCATTTGGATAGGTGGGGGATCTAATACCCAGCATTGTTGTACTGTCGTGATGTCTGTACAATGCATCCCTTTCTTTTCTGTACCCATTTCCCCCTTAAGTCTTAAAATTCAATAAAATATTTTTTAAAAAAATTAAAAAAAAGAATTAAAAAAAAAGAATTTTTTTTTTTTTACAGACTTTCAGCTGTTTGCAATGAACAAAATTAAACAAAAGCAATATAGTGAATGTTTCAAGCGGGTTAACCAAATTCAACTGAAAGTGTAACTTATAATGACTTCTACAGTATCAAAATTACTCAACCCCTTCAGGGCAAGCATATTTATTACTTAGTAGAACCCTTTTGCTGTTATGACCTGCTGCAACCGAGATGGATAGCCAGAAACCAGTTTCTGGCAGTGTTCCTGAAGAGTCTCATGAGCAATGGCCTCCAGTTCAGTAATATTCTTGGGTTTGCGTGCTACAACCACCTTCTTCAAATCCCATAGATTTTCTATGGGGTTCAAGTCAGGTGGCTGTAATGGCCACTGCAGAATTTTTCAGGACTTCTTCTGCGACCAAGCTTTGATGGAACCTGAGATATGCATGGGATCATTGTCTTGTTGGAAGGTTCAATGACACCCAAACTTCAGCTTCTTCACAAATGGCATGACATTTTCTCCTAGGATTTCTTGATACTTTAATGAATCCATCTTGACTTCCAAACACTGCAGGTTTCTTAATGCCAGAGGATGCAAAGCAGCCCCAGAGCATCACAGAGGCACAACAATGCTTAACTGTAGGCAGAGTGTTCTTTTCAGTGTACACGTCATTCTTGTCCCTCCAAACATTCCAAAACGTGACACTCAACAAACCCCTAGCCCGTTCAGGTATTTTAAGTGTTCCAGCTCAAGCACACCTAATGCAACTAATGAAGCCCTTGATTAGTTGCAACAGGTGTGCTTGAGACAACACCTGTTTTGCGTATGTGTGCTGTTGAGAGGGTTTCTATTCAGGGGGGTTGAATAATTTTGAGACTGGAGAAGTCATTCATTTTCAGTTGAATTTTGGGAAACCAATTGAAGCATTGTTTTGTTGAGCTAGTTCAACGGCTTGTGTTTTAATTTGCTCATTGCAAACAGCTGAAAGTTTGTAAATTTTGACAAACAACCTGATTTTCAATTGAAGTTGAGTACAACTGTACATTGTTAGCATTGTTTAAGGTGCTGGGATTCATTCACTTACAACAGCACTGTTACTTTTTAGTTTTTCCATAAGGATTCTTATGACAACATAAACTAAAATTAAGAACATCAAAAACATGCTTATCACACAGTAATAACTTCCACATAAATACTTCATACTTACGCATACTGCATTGATATCGGACACATGTCCAGTGAAAGACTGCCTGCACATGCCATCGCGGATATCCCACAGTTTAGAAGAAGCATCGCAAGCACCGGAAACAAAAGTTCTCATGTCAGGGCTAAGAGACAAACTCATCACATCTCCAGTGTGTCCTGTGAAGGTTGTGGTCTGCTGTCCAGTTTCTATGTCCCATAGAGCACTGTACAGAAAGGGAAAAAAAATTCAGCATATATTAATAATGTACTTATGCAAAGCCCAAGACATAGCTATGGAACTGCAGTTCATTCATGTTGGAAGCTGCAGTAAGACATCTGGAGGACTGCAGTTCAACGATTTTGCACAGCAAGTGTTTGTTTATTATAGTCATCTAAAATTATTTATGGAAATGAACAGTTACAATGAAACTATATCAACAAGCTTTCTCTTTTGTGAACTAAAAATGTTTTAAAATTCACAAACTTTTGTAATTAATAAGGTTCAATGATCAAGCATAATGTAATCCATATAATATATTACTAAAAAGGATTCTGAATTGAGATGTTGTATTCCCTTAAAGAAGCACAACAGGCACTATAGCTATGTAATCTCATTGACTTGGTCATAGTGCTTGGAGTCCCTTTGTGCTGTTCCTCCATTCAATGTTAAATCGTTTCAATCAGATTCAACACTAAATAGGAATCACGAGCTGCCAACAACCTGATCCCAACTGGAGGTTTGGCTAAAGCAGACATTAAACATTTCATTAGTCATGCCAATTCAGAACACAATGGGCAGCAATGATAAGCTGAAAGTGGTCAGCTGAGACTCAGCCAATTATCACCAACCAGGCTAATACTTTTTATTAGGATTGCTGTTAAGCGTTAAACTAATCAAGATGGTTTAATACTGCATGGAAGCTGGAGGCAGATGATTCCAGATACCAATACTACTTCAATGAATTGAAGCAGTTGCTGCAGTGCATAGTGTCCTTTTAACAGTTTATTGACACAGAAACCAGAGAAGGCAAGGGGCAGAATGCAAGACAAGAAAAGACCACTATGTTTATCAGATTAACCAGGACGGTTTTAAGATAATAAATATAACTGTATATAGTGCCCAGTGGCACTCCATTCAGGGTCCAGACTGCTGTAAGCTTGTTTTAAAGACTAGAACAAATGTTTCAATTACTGGATTATTGATAATGACCATAAATATATTGTAATAAAATAACTAAATTAGTAAAGTCATGTAATCATTCCTCTTAATTCTTCACAAAACCTTTGAAAACATAAGTAGGATGCATATGTAGAAAATGGGAATGCAGACTTTGATATAGGATCGTCCACCCAACAGTTGTCATTGACTTACATGTTATTTGACATTGCATGTATTATTCATTTCCAACATACCGTTTAAAATACAATTATATAAGAAGGGAATTTAATTTATACACATATACAAGTTCTAATGTAGACACTGAGCAATTTAGAATAAATACATTTTTCATGTTCTCAGTATATAATGGATGGATGGAACACTATATGTGTGTTATATTATAACGAAAGTCCTGACATAGGACTGAAACATTGATCACTCGTGGCAGTTGCGGAATAAAAGTTTAGTTTATTTTTCACCCTTTAAATTAAGTCCCTGGAGTGCTTTTCCTAACACATATACATATATATATATATATACATACACATACACATACATACACACACACACACACACACACAGTATTTTTTTGTAATATTGTACCCTATTGTAACGATGCAATGTTTTGTGGACCCAGGACATACTTGAAAATGAGGAAAACATGTATCCTTCCTAGTAAAATATTTTAGAAATAAATAACCAATAGCAATACAAGTTTTTCCTGCAAACTGGCAATAAGGCAAGGTTTAACGAAGGGGCAAAATGCTAACTATTCAGGGTCTCAACCATTTACACTCGCGTTTGTGAGTGCTGAGGGACACTTTGTGCTTTTATTTGTACTGGCATCCATTAAGTGACTAAGAGGATGTCAGGGCATACAGGACTAGTCATTATTCAATCTCCACAGTGTGAAGAGAGGTAACCAATGTTATGTGATGTTTACTAAAATACTAATAGGCACAATGAAACCATCTCACATCCCCACTCCTGCAAACTGCAAACATGATGTCTACTACAAATATCCAGGACACTAATTTGTTTACATACAAATTGTATTCTCAAATCTACACATATAAGAGATCGCCCATTATCAATAATTTCAGTGTAATGGACCAGTGTATATCTAATGGAGTTATTACTGGCCATAATGAGGAATAATTAACAGTGCACTAAACACACAAAACTGAATATTGAAGTAGAAGTGGGTTCCGAAGTGAGAAGAAGGATTATTTCAGGAACCACAAATCATTGGCTTCATAAGTGCTATGTGTAGACCTATGCTTTCCCATACTCTTATGCATGTATGCTTATATATGTGACTGTGCATTTATATTTGTGTTTATGAGTTCATGTGCATGTATGTGTGTTCACGTGTTTATGCGTTTGCATATACACATTTATATGTGTGTGTGTATATAAAGTGTACCATCTTCTGCACGTTTTTTTTCTCCCTCTTCCCACTCACTCTGATCTTCAGAAAGATAGTTATGACCCTCTGCAAGAATGGTGTCTATTTTCTAACATTCCTGTGTCTTATCTGCACTCACAACTCAACTTTGAATACTATGTGTCGGCTTGCTGAGAAATGCGTTAGACTTGAGAAAGGGAGGTTCTCCCGAAAGCTTGTCATTAAAAAATTCTTTAATTCCAATAAAAAATGTATTACAAGATACGAATTGTATCTGTTTTTTTACATATATACATATTATCTATATATCTATAGATATATCTAAAATAAATACATAAAGATTTACGACTTTTCACAAAGTGAAAATGTCAGGCATGACAAATATGAAGGAAAGGTCTGAGAGTACAAATCAGAGGTGTATTTTGATGAAGGGTGTAATTTGGTATCAGATCTACTCTGGAAAGTGATAATAAAAGTATATTTACCAAGTTGTATCTCCTGAGCTTGTTACAATCTGGTTGTCATCTAGGAAGCGACAGCATGACAAGTATCCTGACAAAAACAAGAAAAAGAATTGGCAATACGTCATTCAAATGTATTTGGAAATGTTTCATGAAAAACGTCTAAATAAATAAACAAAACTATATATATATATATCTATCTACATAGATAATCACATTTTATTTAATTATTTTTTAACATCTATATCCAACCACAAAACCTCTGTGTATCAATTGTGGTGCTAGGAATCCTAAGCTTTTAAATCATCTGTTTTGACATTGTATCTTAAGCTCCATCACCCAAGCTCTCCCTCCTTCACATCAACACCAAAAGGGGAAGTCTAACCTCCCCACTGATCCCTTCAAGCACTCTTCTGCCATTTAAGTCTGTTTCCTTCCCTTGCAGTAACTGGGCTGTGAGCCGGGCATGGAATTCTGGAGTGTCTGTGTGTGTATATGTGCTCATGACCAGCTCCTGCAAGTGTAGGAGACTGCCTTGAACAGTCTGAGCAAGCTATGCATAGCAATCATGCAAATTCACTTTAGCCAACAAGTGGCAATTAAAAACATGTTTTTGATATATGTTCGTAGCGACGAGTCTGTTTATATGGCATTACTATAGAGGTTCCGACTCACTCACTGCAGTGGCCAACTCTGATGAAAAACAGGCAATCTTATGATTAACACTAAAGCATCGAGCAATTCTGCAAAGGATAATATGAAGTATTAAACACGCATAATTTTACCCCCCCCCCAATTACTTGACTTGTTATTGTAATTAGGTGAATTCACACTTGCTCATGGTGGTAAATTAGGCTCTCAGTTTTTCTTTTGTCATGACTAAGAAGAAGAAACACTAAAAAAAAAATAAAAAAGAAGGAAGAGAGAGAGAACAATAAAAATATTGTGCATGATTTGCTCTCCAATATTGCACTGCCTCACCTGTGTGCCCTGGCAGTTCCCTGCTCACTCGCACGTTGCCTTCTCTTGTTTTCAAGTTGTAAATGGAGCAGATGTTGTCTAATCCTCCACATGCAACGTAATTTCCAGATGGTGCATAGGCACAAGTCATCACCCATGAGGAGCGCAGCGGAATGGCATGCATCTTTAGACAAACAATGGGACAATGATAACTTAGAAACAAAGACAACTAAACTGCCATTTACTTTGATAAGTTTTATTGTTCCTTATAGTAGGGTTGTGTGTATGGGTGAATAGTTTGTTTATAAAATGACTTCATGTTCAGTAGCAAACAAATACAGGATTAGTGTAAGTAAATAAAATAAATAAAAAAAAGTGAAAATCAAGTTGGTCCTCTAGTCAATGTTTCCATTTTATTTTATGCTTTTAGTCTTCAACAAATGAAATTGGAATGGACATTATTTTTTTCCTGGATGATACTTAATATGTAGCGATCACATACTCCATTTGCACCCAGTATTTAAGAATAAATGAATGCACCCCTCAGCATGCATTGATATTGCTATTAATTTGCGATAATCTAATTCCAAAAAATAATCATAAATATATCCAGGCCATCCGTTCATTTTGTACCTAGTGTTTAAGAAAAAAAATGGATGCGCCCTTTTAGCATCCAAAACTAGAATTAACTTGTAATTTGAATATTGTAAAAATACTGACAAGGAAATTGCAAATCATGGAGAAGATGGATAAATAGAGGAAATGGATACAGTTCCCAATTTGACTAATTAGTCTTCAATTTGCAATTTACTTGTCAATGTTTAACATTGCTTGAACACACCCTTCAATAAAAAAAACCATGGGGAGATATGAGGAAAGCTTACTAAATATCAATGTAAAACTGGACTGAAGGTAACCATACAATACCTTGAAATAAATAAAGCAAAGTGAAAATGACCCGTGAAAAATGTATCACACAACTGGCAGCTGATAACTCTAGGAAATGAGGAAGCAAAAATACAGTAGAATAAGAAATGTCAAAACAAATAGACCTACAAAGTAAAAAAATAATTTTATAATAAACCAGCAAGTCTAAAGTGTAATGTACTGGGAATAAAAATGGGTATGAAATATGTGTAAAATTATATTTAAAAAAAACAAAAAAACTACAGAAGGTAAAACTGTAAAATTCACAGAATAAACATAGATCTGTATATACAGTCCAATAGAAAGTCACACAGAACAGGGCAAGGAGTTCGTAGTTTCTACAGTTTGCCACAAGTACAAAGAGTTCGCAACGTCCAATGTTTGAAATGTTGTACTGTTCAACGGACCACCGTTCACCAGACTGAGGTCACAGCAGTGAGACCGAGTCCTAGAACGCACACCAGTTTCAGACTGACTGCTAATTGCTCACCCCTCTGGATTCTGGACTGGCGCAGAGAGGAGGAAGCCGGTAGCAGAACATTTAATCCCTGACAGGTACAATTTCATGCTTAATACTTTGAGTGTTTTTAATTTATCTTAATAAATTGGAGCGGTTCATCGGAGTACATGGTGTCCCCTCTGCTTTTTGTTTTGCAGATCTTAACTGTGCATTAGCTTCACTACCTAATTTACTTATAAAGTTGAATTATATTACTGAGATGATTATCTGTACTTCTATTGATTGCTCCTGCAGGGTACTAGAATATTAAGTATATAGCAAAAAGTAAACCTACACCAGTATAGAATAGTGTGTAAGTCAGAGTAGTTACTTATCCTAAATTAATGTATAGCAGCTTCCTCTTGGTATATTCCAGACGATCGAAGGGGAGACATCCTAAGGTGATTTTAAAAGTCATCTTGTGTGTGCACAATAAATTCTGGCGCATAATTATTAAACCTTTTGCTGTATTACATTATTATGCTACTTTTTTCTGTAGATAATTAGCTGTACCCTCCATATTTTGTTTGGCGATACTAGAATATTTAGCACATGCTATGATTTTGCTACACTGTGGGACTATTCTATTGGACTACATATACAGATCTTTGTTTATTATGTGAATTTTACACATATTTTATTCCCAGTATATTACACTTTGTACTAACTGGCTTATTTTCAGATAATTATTTTTCTTTACTTTTAGGACTACATGACATATCTATGCATTTTTCCATTTCTGATTGTTCTTTGTGGTATTTTATTTTTCTATACTTCACCATTCCCTCTAAGTATGAGCTCCAGGTTGTGTGATCAGCTTTTCACGGGTCATTTTCCCCCTACTCTCACATTGTAATATTGGCAAGCATATTGTAATTTGCAAGCAGACAGGTAAGAAATGTGTTGGACACAACTATAGCACCTGAATGGCACTCACCTATATAGAACCAAATGTGTCTAAATGTACATATGATTCTTTTCAATTATCTTTTTAAAGGACCACTATAGGCATCCAGACCACTTCAGCTCAATGAAGTGGTCTGGGTGCCAGGTTCATCTAGTGTTAACCCTGCAGCTGTAAACATAGCAGTTTCAAAGAAGCTGCTATGTTTCACTGAGGGTTAACCCAGCCTCTAGTGGCTGTCTCCCTGACAGCCGCTAGAGGTGCTTCCGCGATTCTCACTGTGAAAAATCAGTGAAATGACACTGACGTCCATAGGAAAGCATTGAGAAATGCTTTCCTATGGACTGTTTGAATGAGCTTGGGGCTCTTGCCGCGAATGCGCATTCAAAGTTGACGTCAGAAGAGGGAGAAGAGTTCCCCAGCGCCAAGGGAGCATGGTGCTGGAGAAAGGTAAGTGTTTAACCCCTTCAGCCCGGCGGGAGAGGGGCCATGAGGGTGGGGGGGGAGGACCGAAAGACCCTGTAGTGCCAGGAAAATGAGTTTGTTTTCCTGGCACTATAGTGCTCCTTTAATGTTATTGCATTTTGTGAGTTAATTACTGTGCATTTTAATCTATAGCATGCCAAATTGTGTCCTAGCAAAAGCTCAATCAATACTTTGTTGATAGGATGCATTCAAGGCTGGATATAATAATTTGAATAATAAACATATTACTAAAATGAGTCAGCTATTTACTAAACTGAGCTGTCAGGATTTCACACCTGAATTTAAAAGAAACTTAAAACTGCTAAACTCTGCTATTCTAGCCTGAATTTTGAAATTACCTAAAGAATGTTTGACATTTCATGGTTTTCCAGAATCATGGGAGTTGTAGTTCAGCAACATCTGGAGGGCCAGAGTTTGGGGAAGCCTGGTTTAGAGCAACACTACAATATACTACTGAGACTTTTAATTGACATGAAACACATGGGGGAAGATTTATCAAAGCAAAAATAAGTGCTATTCTAGGGCAGAGTGCCAACCATGGAATGTCTCCCCCAAATTAGCACTTTGCCTTGATAAATCTCCCCATTATGTCTAACAGAAGCGTGTTAATTTCCACAGTTTCACCTGGTGCTTCTAGTATTACGTACTAAAAACATTACATATCAAAATAAAATAATTTTACTTTACCTTATTTGTTGTATAACTGTCCCAAATAATTAATTTTCCATCTTGAGAGGCACTGACTAATAGCCTAAAACACAAATAATCAAGTTGTTTACTCAATGAAGCTCACAACACAACCTAAATTCAATGATTGTCATCAAGTATCTGTAGGAGAAAGTATGAGACATACTTTTGCAGGTTAGTAAAACTTTTGTAACACAGATTACCAAAAGTACAAGCCATATCTTACAGATAAAATATCAGCTATGACTAACTACCTATGGCATTTACAGAAAACCTCTACCAACAGCACTTAACCACCACAAGTACTTTAATTATTGCTTAAAGGTTCCTGGTAAAAATCACGAATTTGTTAGTAATTCAAAGTAAATCTTTTTTCATTTAAGCCCAAAATAGCCAAACTGGAATACTTTTCAAAACCAGCTATGCTTTCATTACTTTGGCTTTGAATTCTAAACTTACTTTGGCTTTAAATTTGAAATTCACTTTGAATTCCAGACAATTCTCACTTTAGTGACTAACACTGAAAGACTACCAAAGGAAATGGTTATTAACAGTGCCTACTGAAAACAATTGCCAAAGAATTATCAATAGAGCTTACTGTTGCAATTATTTCAAGCATCTGATGTAGCAACTAGCAAATCATACCCTTGATAGTAGCTGAAGCTACAAAGGGAAACTGGAAAGTAGCTGAAGCTACTAAATGTAAATTGATTTTATAGATTTTTTAAAATTAATTATAAGCTAAAGTAATTGAAATACCACATTAAAAACATTGAGTGAGGAAGGGGGCAGCAAATGAGACACCATACTTACATACCTGGAATCTGACCCCCAATGCATGGCATAGATTTTAGCTAAGTGGCCCCTCAGTGTGCGACGTGTTCGCATTTGGATTCGACCTACTGAGTCCAAGCTTGTGGTAATCTAATATGAAAAAGAAGACAGCATGCACTCACTATGTACTGAAATAAAGGCATGATGAGAAAAGGAAAATGTACATAAACATCACACATGACTTCCATGCAAATGGAAAAAACATTGTATACCTGAACAAGTGTTGTGTCGCTGCATGCTTTCCGGGCATCCTATGGAAGAAACAAAACAGTTACCCATTCAAAACAAAAAACAATACATAAGTGTTTATATATTTTTTTTAAATAATTTTTATTAGATAAACAGCAAACATAACAGAGAACACAGAAACGTCAATCAACAGCACATTTATTGAAAATCTCTTTGTAGGATAGGAATGCTTTTAAGCCCCCAAAGAATTTACTGAAATAATTTGCTAAACAACAGTTGTGGTTGCTTAAAACATAATAAAATAATGCTGTACTACGTTTTAACAGGTATGAACTCTAGGGACATTCCATGCTTCTGCTGACACCACCTCCTGCATTCTGCTAATGTACTATGCAGGGAACATTTTAAAAGGGCAAAATTAATACATAAATAAAACTCTTCAATGAAGATGCCCAATATAATAGCTACAAGGACGTGGCTTAAAATTCCAGCCAATTACTGTTCTCTCATTAAACATATAAAAGGAGTGCTGAGACACTGTGATATATGCAATATTTAACAATGTAGAATGCTAAACCTGGATAACTTATTTCATGCATATTACAGTACGCTATAAGCAAACTAACCACTACAGCTAATTCTTGCACTCATGGGCGGCCCCATCTTGACCATACTGATAATGCTTAAATAAGACTTTCACATTATTAGGGAGTGCTGAGGTAGGTTATCCAGACAAGTAGTGAGTCCAGTTCTTACTCTGATTTGATTCCGAAGCTGTTCTGCTTCTTGCCGTAACTGCTCCAACTCACTCATTCTGAAATCTCAAACTATTCACACCTTGGCCACAAAAAAGGAGAACGGATCTGAAAAGCAAAAACTGTTCAATTTTTCATGGTATAAACAGTTCAGACATTGCAATGTTATGTACAGGTGAGGGAGAAATTACATTTATTGTCATAAGCAATACAAGCTGTTTAATCAGTGGTTTGATTCTCCCTATTGAACAGTTGTGCAAACTAAGTCCTCCCTCACTTAAGTCGTAGCCCAAGATCATCTGAAGATACTCAGTTTGACACCATTGGTATGAAATCACATTTCTTAGTTGACCTGCCCGACATCTGACCAGCATTAATGCAGGACACACTTGAAAACAAGAGAAATGTCAATGTTCCTCGTAAAATATTTCATAAATAAATGAAGCTTCTCAGTGAATAATCAATATGAAAAGCTGGATCACGATCTGTCAAATCATGGTTTTAACATAAGGATTAGCTAAACTCAAATCCCACAAACTAAGTTACTGATGCAGATTATACAGGATGCAGGATCCTGGGTGGCCCGGACTGCACAGGTAATCCAATGCGTGCCCGGGCCCCCGGCCCTTCAATATATATATATATATATACATAGTGAGTACTTTGCTTCCAAGCAGGGCCCAGGACACACGGACCTTCCCCTCCGGCACTTTTGCTAGCCACGGCTGTGAAGCATTGCCGCCGGTTGACAACGCTCCGCGGCACGCAATGCATGCTGGGCTTGCTACAGAAATAGAGCACTGGCTGCACGAGGGGGAAGATTGAGTCTGCTGGGCCCCTCTATGCTGGCCCAACAAGCTGAGCCACCAAGCCACCAGGGAATCCAGTGTCCCCCCCCTCCCTGGCTACCAGTTAAAAGGCAGGGAGGGGGGAATACATAAAAAAAAAAAAAAAAAATTATTAAAATTCAACAGCAAAAAAAAACCAAAAACCCCAGCAGCATTTGTCACACATCCACCACACACATACATCAAACAGACAAAATTCATCCACTACACAACCACACACACACCACCCACTAAATACACACAGCATCACCTACACAAACAGCATTCACTACGCACTACATCCACTACACAAACACACACTGCATTCACTATACACACGATTCATCCACTATACAAACATACAATCTGAATCCACTATAAACACTGTATCCACTTTACTCACGCACTTTGCATCCACTACAAATTCTACAGCCACTATACACACACAAACAAATTCAGTACACACACACTTCATTCTTGTGGGTGGACTCAAAATGGGCCTTGTGAGTGGATTTAGGGGAGAGTCATGTGGGCTGACTCAGGGGTGGGCTATGTGGGTGGGGCCCGGGGGCCCAGACCTTGAGCTGCATCAGGGGTTCCATAATTTCTGGTGGCAGCCCTGCTTGTGCCGACCACTGTTGATTGGCTAGTGAGCTTGCTGGTTTTGCCAGCAGATATGGAGTATCAAGAACAGAGTCTGACTCTGTACTCACAAAGAAAACACCATCTAGCAGCTGTCAGCGTAAAAGCTAATAAAGGAGTTTCCTTCTGGTCATGTGATTCTTCCATTAACCAGTCACAAGTTCATCACCAACATGTGATTTTTACTCAGTGACACAGATTTGCCACTCTTAGGAACTAAGAATACAAATGTTGTGATATTTCTGGATAGAATGTATGCCCAAATCTTTATTCTAAATGCCATTGTCAAGATAGATAGAGATATATAATACCTTGTAGGAAGGCACTCACAGGACTTGATATGGTTCAAAAATAGTGCTTCTTTATTGCAGCAAGAATTTCAAGTAGAAAGTGTCAACGTTTCAGTCCCATCTGGACTTTTATCAAGACTTGAGTGCTTTCCTACAAGGTATTCTATATTATGGCCAGGATTAGCACCAAGGGATTACAAGACCGGGAGCAGTGAGTGCAGGACACGAGGAGTGTTATATATATATATATATATATATATATATATATATATATATAAAACAATGAAGATTTTTTTATAGTAGTGGATGCCTTAATGGATGCCAATATGGACCACCGCAGAATGGACACACCGTTCTCGGGTAGGTAAAAAGACTGCAAAGTGCACACATCACAGAGAGTTTATATAGTAAAGCCAGCTTCTTTAGTCAGTCAATCTCGTTCCCAGTGCACTGCTGTTGTGCCATATTAACAGCAAAAGCATGGTAAACCGCATTTTGAAACCCTGCAGCGCTGTACAAAAGATTAAAAAGCAAACAAACAAAAAAAAAAAAAAGCTATAATGTCAGCAATATTATTTATAGGAGTCCTGAAGTCTGCCCACCACCAATTTTGTCATGTTCATTAACAAAATGTATGCTGGAGGTAGTGTTTTGTTCTAAATATAGCACTCCAACAAGGTTTAAGCATTTGCAAGCTGAAAAGAAAAACAGAGTTAAAGATAAAAACGAAAACCAGTTTTGCGAAGAATGGATCATAAAGTTTGATTTAAAAAAAAAAAAAAGCCATATACTTTTGCATGAGATCATCATGCCACTTGTGCACGTTAGAGGCAGACCCATCGACCAGAGGCCTAACTTGGATCAAAAAAAAATAAATTAAAAAAAAAATAAATAAATCACACACTAGAGGAGTCCTTGGTTAAACTCCAGACATCACAAAGTAAATGCTTTGGAATAATTAATATACATTTTTTTCACTTAAAAAGGAAAGAATAGTCATCAGGAATTTCCTACTAACCATTATACCACATCTTAAAAGCTATCCATACCTTGCGATAATTATTTTTACAGTTGGTTCAGCAAAACGTTTTCTAACTAACCATTACTTACCCTGCACATAGTGGGCACTTGGCATTATCAGGAAGGTCTCAAAAAAACATTCATTCTTATTTGCACATTAGAAATATTGTATCTATATGCGAATATTGCTTTAAGTAAGAACAATTAAGTAAGAAAAGTTTAATGTCCGATCCACTTTGATCAAGCAACATTTAAAATGCTCGAGGCCGGGGCGGAGCCTAACTGCCGAGCGAGACACACGCACCGGGAAACAGCTCCCAACCAAACCGACCTAATCAAGAGGTAAACACCCCGAAAATCAAAGCAGAAAACTGCAGAAAGGCAAGCAGCAAGTAGGAGAATTCCGGGGGCAGCTAATGACCCCAAAAACACGACATACACACACCCCGGGATCCCTCAAAAGTCAATGGGGCCTAACCGAGCCAGCACCAGGGAGAGGAGGCTGCTCTCCCCGACAGTAAAGCCACGCATGGCACCCACGGAACACCTGTATCCTATCCCCCCCCCCTATGGACCAGTGGGGGATATCCCAGTCCCCACTGGACATCAGGGGCAGCCAGCTAAGACCTCACCACAAGCCAGAGCCCGAAACGAAAAGGGACAAACCTGTACAAAACGCACCCAAGATGACGAGGAGCTGCTTGACGCGCTAGCAGACCATGCTGCCTACAAAGCACCAGCCTGATCTCTCGCAGAGAATAGAGGCGCTCTTACAGCAATTTTGGAACAAACTTGAGAAGCGAGACAGGCAGTGGCCCAAACCGAAGCAGGAAGGTGAGCGGAACCGCAGCCAGCAGGGGGTGAGAGGCAAGCCTCTGGGCACAAAGCAACCACGACCACGCACCCACACTCTACCTGGCCTTCCCGGGCTGCAGGCCACTGGGCGGAGAACCTGGACGCATTGCCCACACATTCGGAGGCAAACCAGACGCAAGCAACAGATGACCTCCAGATCCTCCGTTACTCCCCCAAGAGGAGAAAACTCGGGCCCCAGAGGTGACAGAGTTTGTGGCCAAGGAACGCAGGCCTGCACACCTGCCTGGGGGGACATCCTTTCACACACTGGCACGACAGCGGAACGCAGAGACCCACGCATAAGCCTTCACAACCACTGGAAAAGAGGCATCGGATGAAGAAAACTTACCAGACTACCCTCTGCCAGGATCCGAGCTCCCCCCCACAAAAGAGACGGTGTGGCTTGATGGACTGTACGACCCTTGGGCTGATCCTTGACCACAGTGACTTATCATACCACTTATTTTTCTCACACATGCTATATCACAAGCTGCCAGCCCTAAACATCACTCTTACCTGCATATGCATATATAGCCTAACACCCATTCGATATATATTATATATATATTTTATATATATATCTCTATCTATCTATGCAAGGACATAAAATGTTTGCTTACCTCGCACATGCTACACCACACGCTGTCAGCTCTAAACATAACTTTTGCATTCATCGGCATATGCAGCTTAGCACCTGCACAATACACTCATACTGTACCACGGCATGTTATTATTACTCCACTTATAATATAAAATTGTGCATAGTCTAGCAAATACCACTTCTGTTACGCAGCTAGAGGACTGCCGTTGGGATACCTCCAGCTACTTTGTATACTTTAAATGCACTGCAAAAAAATTAATTAAAAAAAAAGCCAGAGGCCTCCTATTTTACTTAAGCCTACAGATACAAAGAGCATTATCCAAACAGAAACGAAATAAATAATGAGTGGCTGGCATTCGGAAGTACATATCTCAAAAGAGAATGTTTACCATTCCTAAAATGATATGTCAATAAAGCTGTATCATGACAACACCCCTACTTAACTACAGGCTGGCTAGAAGGGTGACATTAACACATACTTAAGACTATCCCCATTAGAAGGCAAAACAGGAAATGATCTTGGGTGCAGCCTTGATCTGAGGTCATTCAGCTATTGTTTCTCCACTAGTGCAGCACTGGAAGTGTTTGAAAGAGAGGTGCCTCCATCAGACATTAAGTACAAAAACAGGAAACCACCCGACACGCCTTTATTAAGGAAGTTAATTTTGGTTAACTCTTCACTACTGGAAATGCATGCAATGCACTACAATCTGGAGAGGGCTTCCTTATGGGAGTAAAGGAGTTAAAATTATGGAACCTCCTCCTTTTAACTACGTGTAGGCAGCTGGAGGAGTACAGCTTTAGGCATTTTAAGTAGACCTTTCTTATTTGTTTTATTATGAAAATGAAACATTCAAATTCAGTGACAACATGAATGTTGTAAAATAGACATGTTAACTGTAAAGATGAATGCAGTTTTATACTAAATGCCACCCCATAAAAATTGGGCTACAGGTATGCTGGAATGAAACTCCTTGGGCCTTTTGCCCATTTTCAGAGCATCACAATCAGCAGGTAGCAGTCTCCAAGTGGTAAGCCAGCAAAATGTCTTCAATATTTATGGTTTCTGTACCAATAACAAAGAATTCCCTTTTATTCCAGAAGTTTGGTCCTTAAGGGGTTAAAGGGTTGCTCCTAAGCTTTAACCCATTAAGGACACATGACATGTGTGACATGTCATGATTCCATTTTATTCCAGAAGTTTGGTCCTTAAGGGCTTAAGTGTATTGTTTTTTGTTTTGTTTAGCATGCCCTATTGGGCATCTCTGTTTGAGTCTCTCCCATTATAAAGTCAAAATGAAAGAATAAATTCACTAAAAATCCAGTGCTTAATGGCACACTCCAGGCACCCAGACCACTTCTGCCTATTTTAGTGGTCTGGGTGCCAACTCCCACTACCCTTAACCCTGCAACTGTAATTATTGCAGTTTTCATAAACTGCAATAATTACCTTGCAGGGTTAACGCCTCATCTAGTGGTTGTCTACTAGACAGCCACTAGAGAGGACTTCCTGCTTCATAGCACAGGTTTTCTGTGCTAGAGCGTCGCTGGACATCCTCACGCTGTGTGAGGACCTCCAGCGTCGCTCAATTCCCCATAGGAAAGCATTGAAAAGCATTTTCAATGCTTTCCTATGAAGAGCTCTAATGCGCATGCGCAGCATTGCCTCCTCAGCCGGCGGGCGGGAGGAGCAGGGGCTCCGAAACCACCGCCAAGGGACATCGGCAGGGGGTCTCAGGTAAGTTACTGAAGGGGTTTTCACCCCTTCAGCAACCTGGGATGGATGGTGGGAGGGAGAGGGGACCTGCAGTGCCAGGAAAATTGATTGTTTTCCTGGCACTGGAGAGTCCCTTTAAGCTCCTGTGCTGGTTTCTACAACCCCATTGGAATTACTGCATAAGAAGAAGCATTTAATTGGACCGTTTCACTGACTCAGAGTGTATCTGAATGCTTTCAACAGGTGAAGGATTTAGAGGGTGAACAGTTAGTGGCCCCAGACTGTAATAGAAGTTACATGTAGCGCTCTAAGGGAGTGCTGCACATGGTCTTTTAAAATAGAGAGGCTAAGCAATTGTCCCCAGCCTCCCCAAACTAAAAACAGGAAGCCCCAAGTATTTTTTGATACTGGAAGGTACCCTTTGTCAGAGGAGGCTCTGTCAGGCTGATAGATGAGCTATATGCAGTGCTCAGCAACAGTTATTTTAAGATTGTCCCCAGTAACAGGGAGACTTCGAGGGTCTGAATAGACCATGATGACGTGTCCTCCGTCCAGTGATTTGTGCTGGGCTTTGCCAGCTGCCCAGCACCGATCACAGTTCTTGGAGCTGCAGCATGAGAGAGAGAGATCTCACTCTGATGCTGCAATCATACAGTACAGAGTGCTCATAAAATCACTCTGAGGTTGAATTAGGAGCAGGATTATGAGTAGGGCAGCGTTTCCCAATTGGTATTCTGCAAGAACAAAATGGGGTTCCGCCCAAATTTCTAAAAACAAAATGGCCGCGGGGCGGCGAGGGAGCAGTGATCTCCCTGCTCAGTTCACTCGCATGCACAGCAGTGATTCCGGAGCCAGAATATGACGTCACTCCGGCTCCGGCATCACTAAGAGGTGCGTGAGGGAGCTGACGGCTCCCTCGCCGCCCGCAAACCAGCCGCTCAGCAGCCCGACTGGACCCCAGGGACCACACACAAGCCGCTCGGCAGCCCCACTAGACTACAGGGACATAGCGACTCCATGCCAGCACTCCCAAAAGTAAGGAGGCTGGGTGGAGTCAAATGTAAAAAAAAAAAAAAAAGAAAGAAAAGAAAATTGTATGTGTGTCTGTTAGGGAGTTTGTATGTGTTTGTCGGTCTGTCAAAGAGAATGGTGTGTGTGTTTGTGTGTGCCAGTGTATATCTGAGTGTTTGTATGTGTGCGTGCGCGCGTGCGTAAGTGTGTGTATATGTCACTGTATGTAATCTTATTGATTTTTTTTGATTGGGTAACTAAAATAATAGATCAGGGTGGTGCAGTAGACATTGCTTACGTAGATTTCAGTAAGGATTTTGACACTGGTCCACATAGAAGGCTCATCAAGAAAACTGCAATCTTTAAGTTTGGATTCCAATATTGTTGAATGGATTAGGCAGTGGCTAAATAACAGGCAACAGAGGGTTGTGGTCAACGGAGTATATTCGAAGCAAGGTCTAGTTACCAGTGGGGTACCTCATGTATCTGTACTTGGACCCATTACCTTTGATATTTTTATTAGTGATATTGCAGGAGATCTTGATGGTAAGGTATTTTTGCTGATGATACCAAGATATGTAGCAGGGTTGATGTTCCAGGAGGGATAAGCCAAATGGCAAATGATTTAGGTAAACTAGAAAAATTGTCAGAGTTGTGGCAACTGGCATTTAATGTGGATAAGTGCAAGATAATGCATCTTGGACGTAAAAACCCAAGGGCACAGTATAGGATATTTGATACCCCACTAACCTCAACATCTGAGGAAAGGGATTTACGAGTAATTATTTCAGATGACGTAAAGGTAGGCAGACAATGTAATAGAGCAGCTGGAAATGCTAGCAGAATGCTTGGTTGTATAGTGAGAGGTATTAACAGTAGAAAGAGAGCAGTGCTCTTGCCATTGTACAGAACACTGGTGAGACCTCACTTGGAGTATTGTACGCAGTACTGGAGACCGAATCTTCAGAAGGATATTGATACTTTAGAGGGAGTTCAGAGAAGGGCTACTAAGCAGTTTCATGGATTGCAGGATAAAACTTACCAGGAAAGGTTAAAAGACCTTAACATGTATAGCTTGGAGGAAAGACGAGACTGGGGGGATATGATGCCAGTAAAACACAGTAAAAGAGGAGACTATATTTAAAAGAAGAAAAACTACCACAACAGGACAGTCTTAAATTAAAGGGGCAAAGGTTTAAAAATAATATCAGGAAGTATTACTTTACTGAGAGGGTAGTGGATGCATGGAATAGCCTTCCAGCTGAAGTGGTAGAGGTTAACACAGTGAGGGAGTTTAAGCATGCGTGGGATAGGCATAAGGCTATTCTAGAGTTAAGATAAGGCCAGAGACTAATTAAAAGTATTTCAAAATATTGGGCAGACTAGATGGGCTGAATGGTTCTTATCTGCCGTCACATTCTATGTTTCTAAGATGTGTATCTGAGTGTGTGTATCTGTGTGCATCTGTATGTCAAATACATATATATACACACACACACACACACACACAGATACACAGATACACACACTGTCACATACAAACACGGATACACATTTTGACACAGATACACACACTCTGTGTGTCAAGGTGTGTGTATATCTGTGTGTCAGATACATATTCTCACACACACACACACCTTGACACACAGATACATACATACACACACTATGTATCAATATGTGTTTATCTGTGTGTCAGATATGTTTACACACACACACACACACACACACACTTTTCCCGGACAGGGGTTAGGGATTCCACGATGTTGATACACTATGTCAAAGAGTTCCATGGGAAAAATTAATTGGGAACGCCTGGAGTAGGGGAAGATTTAGGGTTGAATTATGGTTGTGAATAGGGGAAAAGGTGGGCTTTCATTCTAAAGGAGAACATTTACAGAATACAAATATGGGGTGTTTACAGTAGTGGGACACAACATGGTCTGTGAATGTCCACAAAAAAAAACCAAAAAAAAAAAAACATTTGAAAACAACAAAGTATTAAAGGGACACTATAGTCACCAAAACAACTTTAGCTTAATGAAGCAGTTTTAGTTTATAGATCATGCTTCTCATGTTTCATGCCATTTAAGAGTTAAATCACGGTGTATAAACTGAAAAGGTGTGTATAAACTGAAAAAGTGAAAGCCCTATATTTAACCCTGTAATTTTCCAAAACTCCATAAAACCCGTAATTGCAAAGGGGGGTACTGTTGTACTCATGAGACACTGCTGAACACATGTGTATTTTATTGCAGTAAAAGCAATCATTAATATGCCATTCACAGTTAAAATGCCATGCAGAATAAAATAACACAATTTCTTAAATTCTCACACTTTTTTTTTAGATTTTATGCATATTAAATTATGTTTTATACATAAATATATGTAATGAGAAATAAAAGCTCTGTTTCTGTTGAACAAAATGATATATAATAGGTGTGGGAGCACTTAATATGAAAGGGGTATTTGTCCCTAGGGGTTTAGTTCCATATATTTGGTAACATTCAAAGGTGGGGAGAGACTCCTATCCTCATTCACTGTAGTATGAAAGTCCCCAGTGATTCCTTGATGTGTATACATGCCAGGTATCAAACTCACTATGTACTTCTGAACAGTATTTCTTAGCAGACATGTCATACAATTAGTATTCACAAAAGTGTATATATGTAGAAAGTACATCTCCAAGGCTATGTAACTAAGAGCATTTTGACACTTCATTTAGTTATTTTGTCACAAACCTATGTCAAAGTATCTAATTCATTGATTTTTGTCTTACTTTGGGGAAATTCACAGACCACATGTATCCGACTACTGTAAACATCCCATATTTGTATTATGCTACTGTTCTCTATTACAATGATCATCCAAACAGTTAAATGAAAAGTGTAAAAATGCTCTTGGTTACATTTAGCCTGGGAGATTTACAATGATCATGTATATATAGACACACTAAAATACAATATAATATAAATACATAAACAAACACCTAAAGGCTAATGCTACAGAATACCAAAGAACGCGAAAGCTGTAACACAGGAAATCTCCCAGTAATGCAGCTATCCAAAAGCATATCTTGCAAAGTCTTCCAACAATATGCGTTGGCTCCCACTACCACTTACTAAAATAGACTATAAAGAGAACACAGAAAGGAAATAGTGCCTGGAGTTTGTCATTCTAGGCCTCCCTGTGGTTGCATAAGAAAGTGCTACTAAAAACATATTTATTACGCTTCAACATATTCTGCAGCTGTATACAATAGGTTAATAAAAAGTCACATTTGTTACCAGTGTTTCTCAATAAGTGTTATTAAGAACAAAAACTGGTGTTTCGCCGTGATTTGACCAAAGCACTTGTAGCCACCCAATGAGTACTGTTTAACAGGGACGTTGCAGCCCTTTAACCCCTTAAGGACAGGCCTGTTTTTGTATATTAAGGACTAGAGCAGTTTTGACACTTTTGTGGTGTTTGTGTTTAGCTGTAATTTTCTTCTCCCTCATTTACTGTTCCCATGCAAGTTATATATTGTTTTTTTTCAGAACAAGAAGGGCTTTCTTTACATACCATTATTTGTATCATGTCATATATTTTATTTTAAAAAAATAATAAAATATGGTGAAAAATTGAAAAAAAAAAAAAACGTTTTTGGACTTTTACTTGAAAGATATTTTACTTATCTACAAAAGCTAATGAAAAAAAACTGCTAAATAGATTCAAAATTTTGTCCCAAGTTTAACCCCTTTAGACAGGAGGACGTACAATTATGCCCTATTTTAGGCGGCTCTAAACGCCGCCGGGCGTAATTGTACGTCCTCCGGTTCTTGTTAACTTACCCGGTCGCCGGCATCGCGGTGGGGGAGGACTCCCAGGGAGCCCCCCCCGCGGTAGATCCTTCTCCTCCGGAGCCCCCTGGCCATGTGAGAGTGGGGTCCTTGCGAGGACCCCACAATCACATGGTCGGGTAGGCTGCCTCCTGCATTGCCAGCAGGGGGGCTGCCTGTAATGACAGGTGGTCCCCCTGCTGGCTGAAAATAAAATTAAAATAAAATGTATTAGTGTAAAAAAAAATAAAAAAATCTATACTTAGATCATATATATATTATCTATATATAATGATCTAAGTATATATATATATATATATATATATATACACATATACATACACACACACACAAACACTGTCTAGGTGTATTTTACTATTAATATATAATTATATATATATATTAATATCAAATTACACGTAGACTGATACTAATTAAATATATATATAATTATTGTTATATATTTATATATAATATAAAAAAATTAAATATGTAAATACGTAAAAAAATAAAATTACAAAAAATTAAAAATATATAGATGTGTGTTATTTCGTTCTAACTGTATTGTGATAATATATTTATATCAAAATACACATAGAACGAAATAATATATATCTACATACATAAATATATACGTATATATCAATATATATATATCAATATATATATATATATGTATATATATACACACACACACACACACACACACATATATTAATTCTACATATATATTTATGTAATAGTTTTACATAATTAGGTATCTTAATTACAATTAGCGGGACCTGCCTGACCCATGCCGAAAGTATAGGGAATTTAATTTGCTAGCACTATATTTAACCCTATAACTTTCCAAGACACCATAAAACCTGTACATGGGGGGTACTGTTCTACTCGGGAGACTTCGCTGAACACAAATATTAGTGTTTCAAAACAGTAAAATGTATTACAACGATGATATCGCCAGTAAAAGTGAAGTTTTTTGCATTTTTCATGCACAAACAGCACTTACACGGACGATATTATTGCTGTGATACTTTTTACTGTTTTGAAACACAAATATTTGTGTTCAGCGAAGTCTCCCGAGTACAACAGTACCCCTCATGTACAGGTTTTATGGTGTTTTCAAAAGTTACAGCGTCAAATATAAGGCTTGCGTTTCATTTGTTTCACATTAAAATTCGCCAGATTGGTTACGGTGCCTTTGAGACCCTATGGTAGCCCAAGAATGAAAATTACCCCTATGATGGCATACCATTTGCAATAGTAGACAACCCAAGGTATTGCAAACGGGGTATGTCCAGTCTTTTTTAGTAGCCACTTAGTCACAAACACTGGCCAAAATTGGCATTTTTTGCATTTTTCACACACAAACAAATACTAACGCTAACTTTGGCCAGTGTTTGTGACCAAATGGCTACTAAAAAAGACTGGACATACCCCATTTGCAATACCTTGGGTTGTCTACTATTGCAAATGGTATGCCATTATGGGTGTAAATTTCATTCCTGGCTACTATAAAGTCCCAAAGGCAACATAACCAATCTGGCGAATTTCAATTTCAAATGTAACGTGCTATATTTGACCCTGTAACTTCCCAAAACACCATAAAACCTGTACATAGGGGGTGCTGTTTTACACGTGAGACTTTGCTGAATACAAATATGTGTATTTTATTGCTGTAAAAGCAAACAGTATTATGACATTGACAGTTAAAATGTCATGTTGAACTAAAAAGTTTTTTACAATTCTTATTTTCTCCCATTTTTTTCATATTAAATTATGTTTCATAGCTAAATATTTGATATTAAATGAAAGCCCTGTTTCCCCTGAATAAAATGATATATAATAAGGGTGGGTGCATTTACTATGAAAGAGGTGAATTACGGTTGGACAGACATGTAGCGCAAATGCCAGGTTTTGTTTACATTTTGTTTCGTTCACAACGTGTACATTTGGCTCAGTCCTTAAGGGGTTAAAAACACCCAGTGTTTACATGCTTTATTGCTTTTTTTTTTGCAAGTTATAGGCCTATAAATACAAGTAGGAAATTGCTGTTTCAGTATATATATATATTTTAAATTTCAATTTCAATAGTGACATTGCAACACTGTTATCTGTCATAAATCCCCTAATCACACCTCACATGTACATATTTTTTTAAAGTAGACAACCCAGGGTATTCAAAATGGGGTATGTCCAGTCTTTTTTTAGTAGCCACCTAGTCACAAACACTAGCCAAAGCTAGCATTTATATTAGTTTGTGTGTTAAAATGCAAAAAACGCTAACTGTGGCCAGTGTTTGTGACTAAGTGGCTACTAAAAAAGACTGAACATACCCCATTTGCAATACCTTGGGTTGTCTTCTTTTGCAAATGGTATGCCATCATGGGGCTAATTCTCATTCATGGGCTACCATACGCTCTCAAAGGCAACCTAACCAATAAAAAAAATTTAAAAAAGTAAAATCAAGCCTTATATTTGACCCTGTAACTTTCACAAACACTATAAAACCTCTACATGTGGGGTACTGTTATACTCATGAGACTTCGCTGAACACAAATATTAGTGTATCAGAACAGTAAAATGTATCACTGCAATAATATCATCAGTGAAAGTGCCGTTTGTTTGTGGAAAATGCAAAAAACGTCACTTTCACTGACAACATCATCGCTGCGATAGGTTTTACTGTTCTGATACACTAATATTTGTGTTCAGCGAAGTCACCCGAGTAAAACAGTTCCCCCCATGTACAGGTTTTAAGGAGTCATAGAAAGTTACAGAGTTAAACACAGTGCTAGCAAATTAAATTCTCTGGGCTTTCGGCCTGGGTTGGCAGACAGGTCCCTCAAATTGCAATCATTAAAATTACTTAATTAGGTAAAAATATTACATAAATACGCATGTAGAATTTTAATATATACATATTTATATATTTGACGTCTACGTGTTTATAAATAATAAAATTATGGACATATGTATATTTCGTTTTTTATTTATTTATACATAGATATATATATATATCATTACATTCTAAGTGTATTTTGATATACATATATATTAATATCAAAATACTGTTAGAATAAAATTACATATATATAATTTTTTTAATTATTATTTTTACTTTGTTATTTATTTTTATTAGAGAACACACACATATACATATATATATATATATATATATATATATATATACATATACACACACACACACACACTTTTTTTTTTTGACACTGATTGCTTTATTTTTTAACTTTATTTTTGATTTTTCATTTGCAGGGAGACTGCCTGTCAGCACAGACAGTCCCCCTGCAGGCAGATACACAGGCACCTATTGCGGCCACGTGATCGCACTGAGGTAACCATAGCAAGGCTCTAAGGCCAGCACTCCAAAACACAAATCGTGTAATTGAGACACCCCATCTTCTGCCCATTAACAGAAAAAAAGAGCTCACCAGTATAATCCACATGACTTTATAACATTTAAGTAAACCTGTCAGGGATTAACCTCATCCTACGTTCCCGCCCTGCTATGAATTTACGGAGATGGGTGTTACACTTTTGTAACACCTACCTCTAGTCTACCCGTGCTCCTCTGCCTTGCCCTGCTTGGCGAATATTGAAGCAGGGTTAACCTACTATGTAATGTGGACCGACTGACTTAATTGCCAGCATGCTAGCGTCTGACATTCCTCTGTTCCTATACCATACCTCTTAAGTGTCCCCATTTAAGCGGGAAAGTCCCTATTTTGGGCCCAAATCTCCCCGTCTCTCTTCTTTATCCTAATGTCCCTCTCTTGTAGGAGCTCTATATTGTTGGTGTGTGAGTGTATAACAGAACTCCCCAGCAATATTTTGCAAAGGTCTTTAAACTACAATAAATGTGTTTATAAATCAGTCTATGAATAAAATACATTGTTCTTGTTCTAAATTATATTTTTGTTGCAGAAATTGTCATCAAGTCATCTAACATTTTTCATAACACCCTAAAATTAAAGTATCCTTTGTCCATTTGAAATGTTGATAGGTATGCTATATCCTTAGCTAGCTCTAGCAGTGCCGGCTAGGGAGTTACTATAGCAACCACAGAGCATGCTTGGAAGCGTACAAGGATTACCTGTAGGAGGTTTGGTCTACTCTTCTTTATCAATCATTTCATTGGCATAGAAAAACTGATTGACAGGTGGGAGAAATACATTTTTAAATAGCTTTTTATTGCAATCTGTAATATTTTCTAGCAAAACACAGGGACAGGTACCCTTTAACCCCTTAAGGACCAAACTTCTGGAATAAAAGGGAATCATGACATGTCACACGTCATGTGTCCTTAAGAGTTAAAGCAGGGGTAGGCAACCTTTTAGCAGCACTGTGCCGATATAGGATTGTGATGTCCCGTAGCGTGCCGGTCCTATTTTTTTTTTTAAATTGAGGTGTGTATGCTGCCGTATTCTGCTTGTGTTATTTTTACTGCAGTTGCTTTGCATCGTTGTATTTGTGCGTATATAAGCGGTTATAATGAGGGCTGCTTGTGGAATTGTGTGTGGATGGATATGTCACATTGTGTGTTTGGTAGAGTGTGGGGGCTGCATGTGGGGTTGTGTGCATGTATGTGTGTGGGCTGTTAGTATTATTTGTATAAGGGGAGGGTTATTCTTCATTTCTGTGTTATGAATGTAAATTAGTGATAGTAAAATGTCTATTTACTGTGTATACCTGTATTCAATATCTACTCAAAATGGCTGCTAGAGCACCCACTCCCACCAACTAACTACCTTGTGTAACAAGATGGCGCCTACATCCGGAGAAAAATATCGGGATGATGGTGACATTACGCCTCGTAGGGTGTGCATTAGATAAGACACTTAACACCTAACCAATTAAAGATGTATCCTCTCTGTTATCTACATTTTTGCATATGATGTATTTTTGCCTTTATAAGGGGCTTGCCGCCCCCTGAGTAAACATTCTGAAGTTTTTCATTAACCTGATACCTGTGTCTCAGTGTAATTTACTTCAGAGCGTGCACGCATTTATTTTAACAATTTGGAAAGGAGCAGATACACACTTGGTTTGATCCACAATATCTGTGTATATCTAGCAGTATGGTTGGCTTCCCTGGGTTCCAGTGGGGACCGGGCTGGCCTGGTACAGGTCAAAGACAGGAGCTGCAACAGCAGCTGCAGGCTGCTCTACTACATTGTGGATTCCCATTCACAAGTGCTTGGAGGAAGTGATCTGAGATCATTTCCTCTATGTGCTGCAATGCTTAAATTGAGGATTGTCCTTTACCATCTTTTCATATTAGCAGATATTTGAAGTTTTACTGGGACTCCTGATAGGCCAGAGCCTGTTTGGCTCTAGCAGCCTTGAGTACCGTGCAAAGACACGTAGAGTGCCATGCATGGCACTAGTGCCGTAGGTTGCCTACCTCTGCTTTAAAGCAAAGCTTTCCTTTACATGGGTATCGGTTGAACATTTTAAAAATTGATACATGCAAAGTAAGTTTTTATGTAACAAAGCTATTTGAAATTAAAGGAGCTCTAAGGGCACCCAGACCACTTCATCTCAATGAAAAGGTCTGGGTGCCAAGACCCTGTAGTTTTATGCCTGCAATGTTTCCATTGCAGGGTTAACACACCACTAGTGGCGGTCTTTCTGACAGCACCAAAGAGATCCTTCCGCTTTAAGAGCGGAGTCAAACTCTGTTCTCAATAAAACGCTGCTCCTAGAGAATTCAGTAAGATAATTTAATATAAATAATGAAACCACATAAATATATAGATCCACAAATGTGGTCGTCATAATTAAATCCATTGTAGAGCATAAAGGGGACACTAAGCATCTTAATCACTATAAGCTCAGCCTAACGGCAATGGTACAGTACGTGGGGTGGGGGGTGTTGGATGCGTAACTAGGTTAAATTATAAGACTGTGAAATTGTATTGAAATCTGCACTTTCTACAAATTGAAAAAAATGACACTCTTCACACAAAGCTTTTCAGTGCATCTTTAATTCTACATAATCAATACCAATTTTATCCAACCTGGATGGCAATATTGGGGTGACAAGAAAATTTAAAGGAATAGTGAGCTTGTTAAAGTGACATTCTGGGCACTAGGACAACTTTGAGGTAAAAGTGCTTCCAGAGGCCTCCTGGCAATATAACGACTTTAGTTAGATTAAAATTGTTTGGTGCCTGGAGTGTCCCCCCTTTTTTTTTTTTTTAAATGCTGAATTTATTTTCCATATTCTTGTCAGTTGATTAACTAAAATCTACAACAAACTGAATTTCCTTCTTCTGCACCATTTGTGGACAAAGAACGGTTGCTCTTATTTAAATATAAGAAATAAAATAATTTGCATTCTTTGAAAAACAATGTATCTGAAAGAAACAAATTATCTGTTATGCAACCTCCTACCTCTAACTTCAAATTAAAATGTAAAAAAAATGCATATTGTTATTTTTATGTTATTTTATTTGCTTTTCAAAAACTTATTCTCTATAAAATAAACAAAAATGAATAAATCTTACTACCTATTCTCTCTCTCTGTCTCACACACACACACATTGCAGTGGTCCACTGGCATGTAGAATGCAGCTTGTACCTCCCCATAACAACATATAGTTTGATGTATACTTGTTTGGTAAAAGAGTTTTTTTTGTTTGTTTGTTTGTTTGTTTATTTATTAGTTTTTAAATGGGAGACTGGGACCCTCACTCCTTTTTGGAAGTTGGAGATAGCCACATGCAAATTGAATGGTGGATGTTATCAATGACATACACATGCTTTAGGAGTGTTTTCTGAAAGCGAAGGTTTACAGGACAACTAGGCATGATGCACACATTTGCACAATTTCATCTAACAGAGAGGAACACACAGAAAGCACCCTTACACACACAATCCAGTTGGGTATGTCAGGCTAAACAAAAACAGAAGTAGCAGGAAAAGTGCACATTAGGCAATACTGGGTGTGTAAGTCGTAGTAGAAGAAAAATAAATCTTAGTCTAACACATTCTTGCAAAAGTCCACTGCTGGCTGCGGAAGTGACTAAGATAGAAACATATGATCAAAAAACACTCAAATCTGTTAGGATGCTTCTCTTAATGATGTGCTTAGAAGCAAGTCTAGTGAGAGGATATACAGATATTATGATGCTACAAATAATGCAAGGAAATGGATGAGTGAGATCAATTCTGCAATAATAATGAGCAGAAGCAAGTTATTTACATTACAGCCTAGTGATAACGCCACTGGCCACTCCTCAGATGGCTGCTAGAGGTGCTTCCAGGGAGCAGCGCTGCACAGTGAGCAGCACAGCCATTCAGTTTTTCCACCTTCTGCTATTGATTCAATTCATCTATAGGAGGAGATGCTGGTTGGCCAGGGATGTTTGACAGTCTCAGCCATTCCTATGGGGAAGCATTGTGATTGGCTCAGACCACCACTTCTGATGAGGTCAACAGACAGCAATCAGTTTCAGAGCCAGACAGGGGCAGATCCAGCAGCTTCAAACTTGAATACAAGTAAGATTTTACTATATTTAGGGAGGCAAGAGGGGGTCAGGGGGTCTAGATAATGGTTTTAGCACTATCGGGTCAGGATTACACGTTTGTATTCCTGACTCTATAGTATTCCTTTAAAACATTTTTAAAAAGTTTATGCAAAAAAATAAATAAATCTAAAGCACCAGAAGCTTAACCCCTTAAGGACCAAACCTCTGGAATAAAAGGGAATCATGACAGGTCACACATGTCATGTGTCCTTAAGGGGTTAAACCAAAGATCATTTAGCACATCTTAGAAATTAAAGGAACACCATAGCTAAAACTATTACTGGCATTTATAATTTTCCAACATATTTTGCAGTTTTGTACAATCGTTTACAATAGACAGTACAGCATACATAAACCAATATAAAAGGAATGGAGGACCCCACATGTAATCTGAGATCTAGATTTATATTTGAGGGCATGCGCGCAACCAATGCTTCTTATAGTAAAGTACTGATTCCAATGCTTTCCTATAAGCGGCAACATCACATGACTGCGTTTTACTGCAAAAAGGCAATGTTTTTACGAAAAGTTAAAACTGCAGGACAACTGGGTGACTTTAATGGTCCTTCAATAATGAACTCCTTTTTTTTTTTTTACATACAACTATCCAATGCTATATCACTAAATAACCCTAAACATCATATTAAGAGACAACCAAAGTGACACTTAGAAAACAGTACCCCAATTGTGTGCTGACATAAGTAAAGGGTCTGTCAGAACTCCAAAGAGCATTTATAGGTAGATCCACCATGTTTTCAGGGACCCATAAAATTTATGAAAATGTATGAAAAGGATTGCCTGCAGTATGTATAATGCATATTCTGCAGGATTGTTCATGGCCTAATTAGTTAATTTTATACAGCTTTTCATGTGCTGCCCATCAATATGTACACGTAGTAAGTGTCCCTGAAAACATGGTTGATCTTGTAATACTACTTATACTGACACTATAGGCACACAGACTACTTCATCTCAGTGAAGTGGTCTGGGTGCAGTGTCCCTATGTAATTAACCCTGGAATGTAAAACACTGCAGTTTCTCAAAAACTGCAATAATTACATTGCAGGACTAACTCCACCTCTAGTGACTGTTGTAGATAGCCACTAGAGGTGCTTCCGGCTGCTTCACATGGTTTACCTCCATAAAATGATGCTGGACATAAGGACTGTGAGGACTATGTGAGCCCGTTCAGCCCCTGAGGTGACCGGCTGCCTAAAATTGGAGGCAGGCAGCTGATGGTACTCCAGCCCCGGCATCACTAAACAATGCTCTAGGAAACAGAGCTGGATGATGAAAGCAGCCCAGCTGGACCCCAGGCAAAGCTGTCCCACTCCAGCTATCCCAAATGGTAGGGAAGCTGGGTGGATTAAAAAAAAAAAAAAAAGTAATAATTTGTGAGAGAGTGTAAATACAGCAGTAGCAGTGTGCGTGTGTTTTAAATCTGTAAGTAAGTGTGTGTATCCAATTAGTGTGCGTGTATGTTTAGGTCACCTGCTCCTGTCCAATCACATGGAAAGGGTGTTTTTACTCACATTTTATTTTTTTTCATGCTGTGGTCGTGATGCCGCCGCTGGCTCCACCTGCATGGCTGAGATCATCAATCTTGAGAATTTCAGCCAATCCAATGTTTCTCCATAGGAAAGCATTGGGAGACTATTGCAAATGCACGACAAAACATCATGCTGCCCCAATCAACTTCTCCTCATAGAGAATCACTTGAATCATTGCATCCCTATGGGCAGCATTAACGTAGGTGCTGAACACTGTGCAGCACTGACCCAGGAAGCACCTCTAGTGGCTGTCTGAGTGACTGTCACTAAAGGTGTTACCAGGCAGTAATGTAAACTCTGCCTTTTGTCTTAAAAGTCAGTGTTTACATTGAAAAGCATGCAGGGACAGGATATAGACTTCAGAACAACGTCATTAAGCTGTAGTGGTTCTGGTGACCATAGTGTCCCTTTAAGAATTGTATTTTAAACCTTGAAAAATCTGGCTTCTAACTTTTTCTAGCTGGCTCCTAGATTCCAAGCAAATTTGTCAAGCCCTCATGTTAGGGATATAGTCAAACACTGTAGTGCTCCTTTAAATATATATTGCTTTTGTTTAAAACATTTCACTTTTCTAAACCATATAGTAAGGCTATATACCTATCATAAAAGGTAATAAGTCAAAATGTATTTTCTGTGGCTGTAGTTGTAAGCTCCTATAACATGTCATGCACACAATATCAAAATGTAAATTTTACTATGGTAAACGCTGACTAGATACTGCACACTTAAAGGACCACTATAGTGCCAGGAAAACACTCGTTTTCCTGGCACTATAGTGCCCTGAGGGTGCCCCCACCCTCAGGGTCGCCCTCCCACCCGGCTCTGGAAAGGGGAAAGGGGGTAAAACTTACCTTTTTCCAGCGCTGGGCAGGGAGCTCTCCTCCTCTGATCCTCCTCTTCTCCTCCCCGTCGTCTGAATGCGCACGCGCGGCAAGAGCTGCGCGCGCATTCAGCCGGTCATATAGGAAAGCATTCATAATGCTTTCCTATGGACGCTGGCGTGCTCTCACTGTGAAAATCACAGTGAGAAGCACGCAAGCGCCTCTAGTGGCTGTCAATGAGACAGCCACTAGAGGATTAGGGGGAAGGCTTAACCCATTCATAAACATAGCAATTTCTCTGAAACTGCTATGTTTATGAAAAAATGGGTTAACCCTAGCTGGACCTGGCACCCAGACCACTTCATTAAGCTGAAGTGGTCTGCGTGCCTAGAGTGATCCTTTAAATTGAAAGAGTTTAGGTGATCTTTGCTTTTGTTTTAAAAACAAGGCTGCTTATACAGTCTTTATTGGGATTCATTATTGAAAACAGGTTGATAGCCATCTTATTATTTTGAGACGCTTATAAAAAATGTCCTGGTGTGTAGTATGGACAGTGAGGTGAGGTCACTGGATTGCCACCTATGCAGCAGTTATAGGCTCCAAGGCTAGTGTGATCAATCATCATTCTACATACGCTTGTTGCAGATGATTGGGTTACTCACTGCCTATCAAGGCATTCTATATACTCTTAAGAGGAGGCAGGAAGGGGATCATGTTTGTTATGAGAAGGTCCGGGTGTCTGATAGCAGAGGCTCATGGCTGGTCTCACTAAAAAGAAGGTATTATGTTCCTCTCTGTACTGTAAATGGGAAGAAATTGGCTCTGCTTCAAAGGTTTCTTTAATATAACAAACACTTTTGCTTCACTTTGTGTTAAACCTAGAGGGACACCTTCTTCTGCACGTGAATGGTTCTATGTATTTCTAGATGGTCAGAAGACCAGGGCTCTATCAGAACCTCATTCCACCCACAAATAAATTTGTGCACTTGCATAATCTCTGTGTTGCTTGTTTTGGAATAATACAATTTTTTTCTAATAACCGCTATTTATAAAAGATTCTACAGACATTTAAAGGGATCTTCCATAGATCCTTTTTCAACACTGGCAAAAAAAACTGCTAAAGGCATGTTGAGGTGCACTTTTGCAGCTACTTAAACATTCTTGTCGGGTGCATCTATAGCTGACTTTTAGATGTGAAAAAAACCTCACAAGTGGCAGTTCTTTAAACAAAAAGCCAAATAAAGATATGATAAAGATAATCTCGTGTTAGTCACTTCTCAGCACAGTCATCTAAGCCAACAACAATTACAGAAGAAACAAGGCAAACACTCTTACAAATAGTTTTCCATCTCTTGGTCATTTCAACTACAGGACAGGCACTGTAGTTGCTGTGACTACCCCCCCAGTGTGCAAATATGAACAGCGTGACAGATTTCATTCTGTTTGGATACCAATGTACTGGCAAAGAAGCCTAAGTGTACTGCCCAACTTAAGTATTTGCTTTAATCTATTGTGCAATGGATACCTATGGCCCAAGGCAATTTATTATGTATGTGAAAGGAGATCTATAGAGCAGTGTTCTGCAACCTTTTAGCATCCAGGGGGGCAGCGAAAAGAGGAGAAATATTTCGCGGACCGGCGTCAGCCAGAAGTAAAGCCGAATAGGATGTGTGAGGGAGGCAGTGTGTGTGCGCGTAAGGGGGGGCAGTGTGTGTGCCCGCGTATGTGGGGGCAGTGTGTGTGTATAGGGGAGATTGTGGGTCTGTGGGGTTGGAGGGTAGATTTAAAAAAAAAAAAATTAAATAAATTATATATATATATTTTTAATTAAAAGGAAAATAGTAATTTTGATACCCCCCTTCTTTCCTTTGCCTGAGAGAGGGGACATTTCCTGCAATCCCTGGTGGTCCGGTGGAGAAGCCCTGGTGGAGTTAACGCTCGCGAGATTCGGAGCATTGCTACGGTAACCGCGGTGCTATGATTATAAGATCATAGCACTGGGGAAATATCTTGCGGCAATTTATAGCAGGTCTACAAAAGCTTTCACCCGACAATATAGTCGGGTAAAAGCTTTCATGGACCGGCAATAAATTCCGGTGAACCGGCGCCGGACCGCGGGTTGAGGACCCCTGCTTAATTTGGGATCCATAAACTACTTCTGGACTCTTATGCAACCTCATTGCACAAATCATAAGAGACAGTTCTGCTCAGGCCTGACCTATAGTTATAAAAAGAAAAAGCATCAAAATGTGTTGTGTCTTTATTGGCAATCCTTAGCAGATCTACTGCTAAAAAGCAAAGGCAAACAGATGAGACATTACAACAGATGGGCAAAAGCAAAAAGTAATTTTAAAATGTTCATAGTATCTCAGTGATTCTCATAAAAAAATTGCAATGCTAAATATATTCCAATCAACCTCTTAAACAGCTACCAAATCATTCCAATAGTATCCAGAGTTGTTTCTATACTCTGTGCACCAGTTACACCCGAAAATTAGGTAATGTCATGACAAACTTCTGGAAAGCATATCATTTAAAGGAATATTCCAATATGAAATAGCCCTTATTAATTGTATGGAGGTGCAGATAATGTAATAAAAAATAAAACAGATAACCACTTGTGAATTTCTCTTGTTTGCCAATTCTAGGCCTCCAACTGTTAGGAGATGCAGTTTATGGAATGCAGTAAAGGTTCTTTGACAAACCTGATAAAGCATTTATAAAAGTTAATTAAAGGGACTCTCCAGTGACAGGAACTGCAGGTCCCCTCTCCCTCCCACCCCATCCCATCCCATTTGCTGAAGGGGTTAAAACCCCTTCAGTGACTAACCTGTATCCAGCACCGATGTCCCTCGGTCCACCCACACTCCTCCCCCACCGACGTCATCTGGCGGGGGAGATCTATTGAGCATGGGCGGCCGCCGGCGGAGGAGACCTAATGCTTATTAGACCTCCCCATAGGAAAGCATTGAAAAATGCTTTCAATGCTTTCCTATGGGGATTTCAGGGACGCTGGAGGTCCCCACATAGCATAACTTTTCATGTGCTATAAACACGGAATTGCCCTCTAGTGGCTGTCTAGTAGACAGCTACTAGAGTAGGAGTTAACCCTGCAAGGTAATTATTGCAGTTTATGAAAACTGCCAGAATTACACTTGCAGGGTTAAGGTAGTGGGAGTTGGCACCCAGACCACTCCAATGGGCAGAAGTGGTCTGGGTGCCTGGAGTGTCCCTTTAAAGGGACAATATAGTCACCAGAGCAGTTTTGGTGTATAGATCATGCCTCTGAAGTTTCACTACTCCATTCTCTGCCATTTAGGATTTAAATAATTTATTTCTGTTTATGCAGCCCTTGCCACACCTCCCAAGGCTGCGACAGACACAGCTAGCATGAAGAAAAAGAATTTGGTTTCCATTTTCAATCAGATGTTACTTACTTTAAAAAGTTTTGTATCTTCTATTCTGTAAATTAAGCGTTTTATTCACACACAGGAGGCTCATGCAGGGTCTAGCAATCTGTTACGTGAGCAGGAGATCAATTATAAATAAAAGGGATCCTATGGAGGAAGGAAAACAAAGCCGTTCTCCTGGCACTATAGGATTAATAGGTCCACCCCTTCCGTGGCGCTGAAGGTGTTAAAACCCCTTCAGCCACTTACCTGAATCCAGCGGCGATGTCCCTCAGTGCTAGGTCAGGCTCTGCCCACGCTCCTCCCCCACCGACATCAGCCGGCGGGGGAGACCTATTATTCAATGCTTTCCTATTAGGGAAATCTGACACTAGAGGTCCCTAAATAAAGATAAAACAAAAGTCCATTTGGAGTTTACATTGCAGCACTAAGTGCAAAAGTGTCACAGCACCCAGACTACAGTTAGCTGAAGTGGTCTGGGTGGCTACAGTGTCCCTTTAAAAAGAATTTGCAATGAAGGAAGTGTAAATATTAGAGGACTCTTCACATGAAGTGATTAGGAAGGCCGTGTGAGTCAAATGCATGGAAAATGTGACTAGGGCTGTATAAACAAAATTATTAAACTCCTAAATGACAGATAACTGAGCAGTGAGACTGTATACACAACAACTGCTTTATTAAACTAATATATATCACATAAGAAACACCTTTTTTTTTTTTTTTTTAAACTTCATTAGTCTTAAAGGGGCACTATAGTTTTAGGAACACAAACGTGTATTCCAGACAATATAGTTCCCAAACCAACGTTTAGGTTTACGGCCCCTTTACCTTGGGTTAGAAAGGTGATTTATTCACCTTTTTCCAGAATTGATGATCTGAGCAAAGTTGGCGGGTCAGAGGCTGAGCCAAATGCCGCCCTGGCCAATCAACATTAAATGATCACTTTAGTGTCAGGAACACAAACGTATTCCTGACCCTATAGAGTTAAAACCACCATCTAGCTCCCCTGGGCCCCTCATGCCTCCATAAATATAGCAAAATCTTACTGCACTCAAGCCTGAAGCTGTAGATCTGCATGCGGTTTGTCTCAGAAAAAACAAGCTGTCTGCTGACATCATCAGAAGTGGTGGCCTGATCCAATCACAATGCTTCCCCATAGGATTGGCTGAGACTGACAAGGAGGCAGATCAGGGGCAGAGCCAGCATGATTCAAACACAGCCCTGATGAATCAGCATCTCTTCATAGAGATGAATTGAATCAATGAATCTCTATGAGGAAAGTTCAATGTCTGCATGCAGAGGGAGAAGATACTGAATGTTTGGATGCATTTTAGGCAGCCATGACCAAGGAAGGATCTCTAACAGCTATCTGAGGAGTGGCCAGTGAAGTTATTACTAGGCTGTAATGTAAACACTGCATTTTCTCTGAAAAGACAGTGTTTACAGCAAAAAGCCTGAAGGTAATGATTCTACTCACCAGAACAAATTCAATAAGATGTAGATGTTCTGGTGACTATAGTGTCCCTTTAATCATAAAGATGCATTGAATCAGTGTATATCTATGGGAAATGTTCAGCATCTCCAGGCAGAGCATGGAGACGCTGAGCAAAAGTGTTGCACAGTGTGCAGCACGGACCCAGGAAGCAACTCCAGTGGCCGTCTGAGTAGTGGCTAGGGGTGTCTATAGGTTTTAATGTAAGGACTATACACTGGCTATACTCACCAAAGCAACTACATTAAGTTACTTTAAAAAGACACTCACTGGGTTACTAACTAAAGTGAAAATTCAAACTAAATTTTAAATTTAAGGCCCGAGTAGCCAAACTGAAAGCATAGCACGACTTGGAGAATTTTTCAAGTTTGACTATTTTGAACTTCCATTTGAAATTCATTTTGAATTCTCACTTTAGTGAATAACCCTGCAAAATTATATGACTGCAATAATGTACCCAACATAAAAAGCTGCAAAAACGGTTACCTTTCTTTTATTATATATATTTTTTTTACAAAATATAAATAGTACGCATAGTACTAATAAGAATAATATGCAAATGTCTGCTCCACAGCACCATCTCTTTTCAAACCCCTAGGAAAAAGTGAAATCTATTCCTGGCCCTATAGGGTTAAAACAACATCTATCCCTGTCGCCCCTTGCCACCCTAAATATAGTAAAATCTTACCTTTATTCCAGTTTGCTGCTGGCTCTGCCACTGATCTGCCTCCTTTGCTACCATTATCAGAAGTGGTGATTTCAGGCAATCACAATGCTTTCCCATAGAAAAGAACTGGATTGGCTAAGATTGTCAAGGTGGCAGATCAAGGACACAACCAGCACCAGCCAAAGAGAGCCCTGGTCAATCTCTTCATAGAAATGCACTGAATCGATGAATCTCTATGAGGAAAGTTCAGTGTCTGCATGCAGAGGGAGGAGACACTGAATGTAAGTGCGGAACACTGTGTCCCAGCACTGCCCCAGGATATACCTCTAATAGCCATCTGTTGAGTGGCCAGTGGATCCCTAGCATGTAATGTAAACACTGCTTTTTATTCTGAAAAAAGATAGTGTTTACTGCAAAAGGCCTGAAGGAACTGATTCTACTCACCTAAACAAATACAATAAGCTGTAGTTGTTCTGGTGACTATAGTGTCTATTTAAAACTCCCCCACGTGTTTCTATTGGGAGATGTAAGCAATAAGCATTGATGCAACCTGGTGCAGAGAAAATAAAAGTCGCTCAGTTTGGCAAATCATGTTTTTGTTCACAGAGTGTTGTGGATTTATATAAAACTACAGTTGGGAATATAGCGGATTGCCTGTTATAATGTATTACATATTTATTTCTATTTTCACTTGCAACCTGTTAACTATGAAAATAAATCATTTTAGTTTTCTTTCATTTTTTTTTAGATTATTAAACCCTTGAGGGCTACTGGTATGGGAAGATTTCTCAACCATTTCCTGGTTTAAAAGAATGTCACTGAAAAGCCAATGAAGGAGGATTTGCAAAAGAGGAACAGGCAGAAGAGTACCATATACATTATCTCAATAACGCATTACAACATAATAGATGCTAAATTCACCATAGGATTTCTATTTGAGGGGATTCTCATCATACATTTGATGAGAGGTACACATTAAGGTACATTTTCAGATCCACCAGGAATGGTATACACAAAACAAAAATGTACCTTTATAGGCAATTTCCATCTGAAAATGGAGACTAAAAATTACAATCTATATGCTATATAGACACGACCTAACATATCTGATGGGGACAGTTTTATTCTAAACACATGAAATACTGTTAGGTCTGGAAATATTTGGAAACGGACACAATTTTCAGAAATTGGGCTCTGTACGCCACCACAACAGATTTGAAATGAAACAGCCAAGATGCAATTGAAGTGCATACTTTTAGCACTTTCAACTTTAATTTGTGGTGTTGAACAAACATATTGTATGAAATGTTTAGGAATTGCAACCTTTTTCATACACAGTACTCTTATTTCAAGGGCTGAAATGTAATTGGACAAATTAACAATCATAAATAAAATTTACATTTTTAATACTTTGTTGAGAATCCTTTGCAAGCAATGACTGCTTAATGTCTGAAATGCATGGATATCATCAAACCCTCCCTTCCCATGAATTGCAGAAGGGGTTAAAAAAACCTTATGTCACTCACCTGATTCCAGCGTGAATGTCCTTCAGCGCTTTGCCTCTCCCCTGCCAACGTCAGCCGGCTCGCATTAGCACTTCCACCATGGGTACCCAGCCACTAGAGAGAGTTAACGCTAACAGATAATTATTGCAGTTTATTAAAAACTGCAATATTTACCACTGCAGCGTTAATGGACCTGGGACACTGCACCCAGCCCACTTCAAAGAGCTGAAGTGGTCTGGGTGTCTATAGTGTCTCTATAAGTTTTGTCTTCAACAAGTGAAATGCAAGCTCGAACGGGTTGAGATCAGGTGATTGACTTGGCAATTGCAGAATATTCCACTTTTTTAGCTTAAAAAGTCCTTGCTTTTACAGTATGTTTTGGGTCATTGTCTATTCGTAAAGTGAACCGTCGTCCAATCAATTTCGCTGACATTGGCCGAATCTAAGCAGACAACATATCCCTTTCCACTTCAGAATTCATCTGGGTGCTTCAGTCTTCTGTCACATCATCAATAAACATTAGTGACCCAGTACTATTAGAAGCCGTGTTTGCCGATGCCATCACATTGCCTCCACCATGATGGTATGCTTCGGATCATGAACCGAAGTCTTCTCCCCATTTTTTTCTTCCCATCATTCTGGCAGAGTTTGATCTTGGCGTTATCTGTCCAAAGAGTGTTGCTCCAGAACTGTGCTGGCTTTTTTTAGATGTTTTTTGGGGCAAAGTCTAATCTGGCTGAATTTTCCTCATAGAGATATCTTGATTCAATGCATCTCTATGATGAGGTGCTGATTGGCCAACACAGCATTTGGCCCCGTCTCCTTGTCGATTTTAGCCAATCCAATGCTTTCCCTATGGGAAAGCATTGGATTGGCTAAAAAATGGCAATTCTGATGATGTCACCAAGGGGGCAGGACCAGTGCTGGCAGACCTGAGAAGAGCTAAAAATAAGGTGAGTTTTAACCCATTCTGAGGGGGCTAAGAGGGGGGGGCAAGCCACCTAAATGGTGGATTTTCACTAAAGGGTCAGGAATACATGTTTGTGTTCCTGACCCTATAGTGATCCTTTAATTTATTTTGGTAAACACACAAAATAATAACATTTTTGTCAGTGTCCAAATATTTCCAGACATTACCGTACATATCGTTTCTTCGGATTATTATTATTATTTATAAAGCGCCAACAAATTCTGCAGTGCTGACTAACAGGCAAGTATTTGCAAATAGACGAATTGGACACACGAGGTAACGGATGAAATTAGCAGTTTATGTATGTTAAAACACAATATCTTCCACTACATTAAACCTAGTGGGTGTGACCGGAATTTGGAACCTGACACTTTCAGCCTATCAGCAGTGCCCAGCCCAAGGCTTTCTGATTGAAGCCTCAGACCAGCAGCAGTAGGAGCTAAACAGGGCAAAAGTGTGCTATCTCCACAAAATTGAGTTTAAACTGTTTATAAATTGTTTAAACCCTCAAGGTATGACGGCACCTGGGACCTCCTGGCATCTCAACAATTGAATTGAGATGGTATTGTTATGGTGCCCGGAGGGGCCCTTTAATAGTGTCTGCAGAGATTGTGCCACTGGAATCCATGTTTGTTGGTAGGTAGGATTTAATCATTCATCAGAATTTCTAACAGCTAATTTTAAATAAATTGCCATTATTTACTATGTGCCATACTATATTTGAGATAAATATGTAAAGTCTCTCGATACACCCCATATGTTAGGAGCATTTCAAATTAACAGTCTTTGTAATTAACCTTCAGAGTAAAATTATTTGGAGAATATACATGAATTCTACAGTGAGACTGAAGCACACTCTGCAACAACTGTGTGTTTTGCAGCAAGCAAAAGAAGTAAAACAGAGTGGGAATTTGGCTTGGATAAACACACATTGTAAATAATACAGTTGTAGTAAAAGAGTCAAGAGGACATGTGCTTGGTATCTGGAAAATGATCATGAAGAACTAAAATGGAAAGCATAACCCCTTAAGGACCAAACTTCTGGAATAAAAGGGAATCATGACATGTCACACATGTCATGTGTCCTTCTAGATAACAAAATATGTATCCAATAATAGGCAAAAATTGTTGTGAAGCTATTTAAAAAAAAAAAATGATATATATTTTTTATAATTTATTTATATTTCATGCAGCTCTGTGGAATGTAGTATTAACATACAAACCTAAAGCTTTAGTAATTAACATAATTATATAAAATTAAATTTAGGTATGTTGCAAAAGAGAAAAAAAACAAACATTAATATAAATAAGATAACAAGATGTTTTGATTCAAATTTTAATATTAAACCTGCCAAGTGATATTCTAAGAACCAAAACAACTTTTACTTATTGAAGTGGTATACATCATGGCCCCCCACATATTGCACCGTATGTTTGACTTGAAATCTCCTGCTCTGTAAATGGCATGCTAGAGCCTCCCGTGTGTTATCAAAGTGCCATTAATAGAACAGGAGATAAGAAGTCCTTTACTAAGACACACTATGTTCTAATAGTGAAACCTTGTTTTTCATGATGGCTGTGCCAGTCACGGCCAGGGGAGGTGTGGCTAGTTCTGCATAAACAAAGTGGTTAAACTCCTAAAAAATAGATTGAGCAGGAGCATGGTGTATACACCAACACTGTTTCATTAGGGGGACACTACAATGCCCAAATACAAAATAAATAAAAAAAATTCTGTTTACTAGATATACCCCAGACTAAAACTTGCATGCATTTAATTGTGCATTTTTTTTAATTTTACCTAAAAACAGCTTGCAAAAACAGCAGATCCTTTGTCTGCTGCCTTTGCAACCCCTCCTCTTCTAACCGCGCCCAGATTTTATGTGACTGTTCAATCACAGACTTCCCAACACAGTGCAATAAGAAGTTTTTGTAAGGCAGGTGCTCTATGCATGTGAAATGAAAAAAAAAATACATACTCTACACATATAGCTTTTCAGCAAGCTAAAGTGCTTTAGGGATCTGGAGTGTCCATTTAAGCTAAAGTCTCTTTATTGCTTGGTGTATCCCTTTAAGGTCAGGCACACTTTGTACCATACTACGATAAGATATCAAATATGTCTATCTTCATTCACAAAATATAGTGAATAAAAACAAAAATAAATAAAAAGGACAGAAATATAAACTTATCATTCTATAATTTAGATCAGTGAATTAAAGGACCGCTATAGTGCCAGGAAAACATACTCGTTTTCTGGCACTATAGTGCCCTGAGGGTGCCCCCACCCTCAGCGTCCCCCTCCCGCCTGGCTCTGGAAAAAAAAAAAAAAAAAAAAAAACTTACCTTTTTTCAGTGCTGGGCGGGGAGCTCTCCTCCGTTCCTCCCCGTCGGCTGAATGCACACGCGCGGCAAGAGCTGCGCGCGCATTCAGCCGGTCGCATAGGAAAGCATTCATAATGCTTTCCTATGGACGCTGGCGTGCTCTCACTGTGAAAATCAAAGTGAGAAGCACGCAAGCGCCTCTAGCGGCTGTCAATGAGACAGCCGCTAGAGGCTTTGGGGGAAGGCTTAACCCATTCATAAACATAGCAGTTTCTCTGAAACTGCTATGTTTATAAAAGAATGGGTTAATCCTAGCTGGACCTGGAACCCAGACCACTTCATTAAGCTGAAGTGGTCTGGGTGCCTAGAGTGGTCCTTTAAGGAATGAAAATGGCCCATAATAATGAAGGAAATGACTTCACGATATTTAAAAAGAAACTAAATTGGTCTAATAATCAACAAGGGTGAGGAAAACAATGGGAAACAAGATAAGGACAGGTAGGCTTCAGTCAAGGGCTAAGAAGAGTTACTACTTCAACTAGAGCTAAGGATAGGTAGGACTGTTGAGGCCAGAGGTCAGGGATAGCTGAATGAGGCTATGAGGTCACGAATGATTGCCCAAGACCAGTGGGATAAAACTCACTGAGAAAAAGATACTGTACTGCTTTCAAATTTCAATCATTAAAGGAATACTATGGGGTCAGGAACACAAACATGTATTCCTAACCCAATTGTGCTAAGCCCACCATTAAGGTGGCTTGCCACTCCCTTACCTTCCTTAAAAGCATGAAAAACTCACCTTATTTCCAGCAATGTGCGGGTCCACTGGCACTGGCCCTGCTAGCTTGGTGACATCATCAGAATTGCTGATTTTTAGCCAGTTGGCTAAAATCGGCAAGGGAGCGGGCCCAAATGCCATTTTGACCAATCGGCACCTCATTATTATTATCATTTTATTATTTATATAGTGTCAGCAAATTCTGTAGCACTGTACAATGGGATAGAGATGCATTGAATCAATGCATCTCTATGAGGAAAATTCAGGATTCCCATGCACAGCATGGGGACGCTGAACGGCAAAGCTGCCTACTGTGCAGCACTGATCCAGGAAGCCCTTCAGTGGCCATCTGGAGATGTCCTTAGGTGCAATGTAAACAGTGCATTTTCTCTGAAAAAGCAGTGTTTGCATGAAAATGCTTGCATATAATGATTATACTCACCAGAACAACTACATTAAGCTGTAGATGTTCTGGTGACTATAATATTCACGTAGTATGACTTTAAATAGGACACTCAAGACCCTTAAAGCACTTAAGCTTGCTGAAATGTTTTATTTGTGAAGAATGTGTTTTCTTTTTTTCTATTTTGCAAAAAGTACAGATTGCAATAGAAACTAGAAAAGCTACAATTTCTGGGGAAATTGTGTGAAGTGTTCTTGCCTCCACCAGTAGTCTGCAACTGAAGTGGGCGGAGTAACTATTATTTATTTATATAGCACATTTAATTGCAACGTTGTTGCCCAAAGTGCTTCACAGTTAAATTAAAACATACATTTATAAAAACATTAGCAGGTGTACAAAAGACCGTGTCTATGACATCACTTGCTGCTCCAGCCTGGCACAGGTCAGAGTATTTTGGCGGTTGCCATCTTCAAATGGTCGTATTTTAAAAACTAAAAATCCTACAGCGAAGAGCTTTATATTGTGAGAATCACAAGACCCAGACCTACATTTCGATGCATAGTATGTCTCTGAAATATTAACGAAGGCACAGTCACAGTTTAGAAATTGCCCTTTAAGTTTGAGCTGGCTAGAGTGGAGTTTCAATGAATGTCAATGGACGGCGTGAGTTGCAAACAAATGGTCATATTGCGAAAACTATCAGGACTATGGCTTAGCTGTGGCAGCAGGGATAGCTGAACGTTTTGATATAAGATTTGTGTAGATGGGCTTGAAAATGAGGGAGTGGTGGCAGTTTAGAAATCATGTCCTGATTTTTCAGCTTTTGCCAGCTCCCACTCTAGTTTTGAACATTTTGCCATTCATTCCTATGGGACCAATTTCGCCACAAGAACAACGATATTCCGTGAACCATTCGGCGAAATGTTCCACAAAGTAATAGCAATCCAATCGGGAACAATCCGCACGTTTCGGTATATTACCGTCTATGTAGTGTAAGAACTGTGGGAGGAGTTAGGGTGGTAAATTTGGCTATAACAACAATAATATATATGTGAGAAAACATTAAGTGGTCTTGCTATGCAAGAACACTTAACTAATCTGGTTACACCCCCTTTGCTTTCAAACAGACAACAGGTGCTGGTACTCCCAGGTTTGGAAAGCTCAGTGGAGCTAAACTCAAAAAGCAGAAATTGCTCAGAGCTCCTGCCTTGCAAATACTTTTCATTGAGCTGCATTGGGAAGCCTGTGATTGGGTAGCCACAGAAAGTCTGGTCAGGGTTAGAAGTGGAAGGCTTGCGAAGGCAGCAAACAAGAGCAATGCAGATTCCTGCAAGCAGTTTTTAGATATAACCCCAATGAAAAAAAAGTTATTTAAAACACGTGTATGCAGTGCCCATCACACACAGCAATGATAACAGGCAGCACTTTACCTTAAGCTTATAATAAAAGCAATCAAACATAACTGCAAGAGTGCAACAATTTTGTGCAGTCATGTGCTAAACACGAACAATAAAATGACAAGCACAATTATAAACATGTAGTGTTGTAATGGTGAACTGACATGGCTCAGTTTTTCAGGATAACAAGAGGGTCTAGGAGGCAGTCAAACAGGGGCAGGAAGGTGGTCATAACAATGGTTCACAGGAAATAGAATAGAGGAAAATTTGATTTTAAAAACATACTTAAGATGATGGGGACTGATATTGGGATGCTGGAATAAAGGCACAGTAAGAGGGCAAGGTGAGCTAATGAATATGAAGGCCAGAAGTGAGCTGATGGTGTGATACTAGGAAGGCTGGAGGTCAAGGTGGTGGCTGGGAAAACCAGGGATTGAGATGATGGGGTGACTGCTATAAAGGCCAGCTTTGATATGATAGCTAGAAGTGCAAGGCTGTTGAAATGACTGGTGACAGCTGGTCAGGTCCGGGGTCAATAGCAGGGGCGATGGCTGGGCTGGCCAGGTCCGCGGTCAATGACAGGGGCGAAGGCTGGCCGGGCCCAGTTGTCAGTGACAGGGGGGACGGCTGGCCGGGCCCTGTTGTCAGTGACAGGGGGGGACGACGGCTGGCCGGGCCTTGTTGTCAGTGGCAGGGGGGGACGACGGCTGGCCGGGCCCAGTTGTCAGTGACAGGGGGGACGGCTGGCCGGCCCCAGTTGTCAGTGACAGGGGGGGGACGGCTGGCCGAGCCCAGTTGTCAATGACAGTGGGCGAGGCTGGCCGGGCCCAGTTGTCAATGACAGTGGGCGAGGCTGGCCGGGCCCAGTTGTCAATGACAGTGGGCGAGGCTGGCCGGGCCCAGTTGTCAATGACAGTGGGCGAGGCTGGCCGGGCCCAGTTGTCAATGACAGTGGGGGAGGCTGGCCGGGCCCAGTTGTCAGTGACAGGGGGGACGGCTGGCCAGGCCAAGTTGTCAATGACAGGGGGACAGCTGGCCAGGCCCAGGGTCAATGACAGGGGGACAGCTGGCCAGGCCCAGGGTCAATGACAGGGGGACAGCTGGCCAGGCCCAGGGTCAATGACAGGAGAGACAGCTGGCAAGGTCAGTGTCAACGATGAGGGGGCTAACAAGGCCCGGGGTGAGATGATGGGGTGTAGTCTAGGAAAGCCAAGGGTTAGATGACAACTAATAAAGCCATGTGAGATGATAGCAGACAGCTAGGAAAACTTAGGTTGGGATGATAGCTAAAAGCAAGGAAGGCTGGCTTGAGATGCTGGTATAAAGCTAGAAAGGTCAGGTTAGAGATGATCAGATGATGGTTTGTAAGGCCAGGGTGATGTCTGTCATGAACAGGGGTGATTGGGTTATGACTAGGAAGGCAGTAGTGAGATTATAGGGTGTTTTTATATAAGGTGATGTAAGTGAGATGGAGTGATGGCTAGGAAGGCCATGGTGAGGGGATTGGCTAATGTCAAGGAAGGCTGTGCAGGTGATTATATGATTATGGTGAGATGATGGGGTGAGGAAGCGATTATTATGGGGTGAGGAAGGCTGAGGAATTGATTGTGTGAGGAAGGCTGAGGAAGGGATGATGGTGAGAGGAGATGATTATTGTGAGGTGATGGGGTGAGGAAGACTGATGAGGTGATTATGATGCGATGAAGGGGTGAGCAAGTGATGATGGGGTGAGGATGTGATGATGGTGAGATGATGGGGTGAGGAGGTGATGATGGGATGAGGAAGGCTGAGGAGGTGATGATGGTGAATGATGGGGTGAGGAAGGCTGAGGGGGTGATGATGGTGAGATGATGGGGTGAGGAAGGCTGAGGGGGTGATGATGGCGAGATGATGGGGTGAGGAAGGCTGAGGGAGTGATGATGGTGAGATGATGGGGTGAGGAAGGCTGAGGGAGTGATGATGGTGAGATGATGGGGTGAGGAAGGCTGAGGAAGTGATGATGGTGAGATGATGGGGTGAGGAAGGCTGAGGAGGTGATGATGGTGAGATGATGGGGTGAGGAAGGCTGAGGAGGTGATGATGGTGAATGATGGGGTGGTGAAGGCTGAGGAGGTGATGATGGTGATTTTGGGGTGGTGCAGGCTGAGGAGGTGATGATTGTGATTTTGGGGTGGTGCAGGCTGAGGAGGTGGTGATGGGGTGGTGAAGGCTGAGGAGGGGATGATGGTGAATGATGGGGTGGTGAAGGCTGAGGAGGTGATGATGGTGAATGATGGGGTGGTGAAGGCTGAGGAGGTGATGATGGTGAATGATGGGGTGGTGAAGGCTGAGGAGGTGATGATGGTGAATGATGGGGTGGTGAAGGCTGAGGAGGTGATGATGGTGAATGATGGAGTGGTGAAGGCTGAGGAGGTGATGATGGTGAATGATGGAGTGGTGAAGGCTGAGGAGGTGATGATGGTGAATGATGGGGTGAGAAGGTGATGAAGGCTGATGAGGTGATTATGGGGTGGTGAAGGCTGAGGAGGTGATGATGGTGAATGATGGGGTGGTGAAGGCTGAGGAGGTGATGATGGGGTGGTGAAGGCTGAGGAGGTGATGATGGTGAATGATGGGGTGGTGAAGGCTGAGGAGGTGATGATGGTGAATGATGGGGTGGTGAAGGCTGAGGAGGTGATGATGGTGAATGATGGAGTGGTGAAGGCTGAGGAGGTGATGATGGTGAATGATGGAGTGGTGAAGGCTGAGGAGGTGATGATGGTGAATGATGGGGTGAGAAGGTGATGAAGGCTGATGAGGTGATTATGGGGTGGTGAAGGCTGAGGAGGTGATGATGGTGAATGATGGGGTGGTGAAGGCTGAGGAGGTGATGATGGTTAATGATGGGAGTGGTGAAGGCTGAGGAGGTGATGATGGTGTGAATGATGGGGTGGTGAAGGCCTGGGCTGGGAGGAGCTCAGTCACTATGGGTGGCTGCTGCACCCTGAATGAGATGAATGCAGTCAGTGATGTGGTGATGATGGTGAGGAATGGCTGGCGGGGGATGCTTCCAGCAGCTCGGGGCTAGCGGAGGGCCGGTGGTGTGGCCAGGATGCAGGATGTTATCAGGGGAGGGGATGGAGGGGTGGATGAAGCCGGGCTGGGGATACACACAGCAGGCGCTATGGATTACCCACGCTCCTGTCGTGCGGCCCCGGCTCGCTCTCCGTCTCTCTCTCCCCGGCTCGGTCTCGGTGTCTCTCCCCCCTGCTCGGTGTCCGTGTCTGCCCCCGGCTCGGTGTCCCGGATCCCGTTAGAAGGAGCGGCCTCCCTGCAGCTCGTATCACACAACCCCGAAATCCGCCACACCCAGACCGGAACACACCACTCCGTGCACGGGGGAGGATGCGCTACGACTCTTCACCGAAATCCTGCCAGATTCACAAATACATTATCTCACCCACATCAACTGCATTGTTTGATGAACTGGGTGCACCGGCTATGGAAACATCGCCCTAATAGCCGACAGCAGCTGTGGAGGTGAAACCTTTACTAGCGAACCTCCCCTCTTAAGCAAGATGGTACAACCCGCTGCTAGAACACAGAACCCACCAAGTAATGCGAGGAGGAGGAGGAAAAGCAGCACTGACAAAGCTTCCTTTTAATGACCATCCTACCCATAGAGCAGCAATACAGATAACAACAGGGAGAGGGACTAAACCAGTCCTCAACTCAACATCACAACTAAACAGGGACTAAACCAGTCCCCAGCTCAACATCACAGCTAAACAGGGACTAAACCAGTCCTCAACTCAACATCACAGCTAAACAGGGACTAAACCAGTCCTCAACTCAACATCACAGCTACACAGGGACTAAACCAGTCCTCAACTCAACATCACAGCTAAACAGGGACTAAACCAGTCCTCAACTCAACATCACAGCTACACAGGGACTAAACCAGTCCTCAGCTCAACATCACAGCTAAACAGGGACTAAACCAGTCCTCAACTCAACATCACAGCTACACAGGGACTAAACCAGTCCTCAGCTCAACATCACAGCTAAACAGGGACTAAACCAGTCCTCAGCTCAACATCACAGCTACACAGGGACTAAACCAGTCCTCAGCTCAACATCACAGCTAAACAGGGACTAAACCAGTCTTCAACTCAACATCACAGCTACACAGGGACTAAACCAGTCCTCAACTCAACATCACAGCTACACAGGGACTAAACCAGTCCCCAGCTCAACATCACAGCTAAACAGGGACTAAACCAGTCCCCAGCTCAACATTACAGCTACACAGGGAACTAAACTAGTCCTCAGCTCAACATCACACCTACACAGGGACTAAACCAGTCCCCAGCTCAACATCACACCTACACAGGGACTAAACCAGTCCTCAGCTCAACATCACAGCTACACAGGGACTAAACCAGTCCTCAGCTCAACATCACAGCTACACAGGGACTAAACCAGTCCTCAGTCCTCACAGCTACAACATCACAGCTAAACAGGGACTAAACCAGTCCTCAACTCAACATCACAGCTACACAGGGACTAAACCAGTCCTCAGCTCAACATCACAGCTAAACAGGGACTAAACCAGTCCTCAACTCAACATCACAGCTACACAGGGACTAAACCAGTCCTCAGCTCAACATCACAGCTAAACAGGGACTAAACCAGTCCTCAGCTCAACATCACAGCTACACAGGGACTAAAGCAGTCCTCAGCTCAACATCACAGCTACACAGGGACGAAACCAGTCCTCAGCTAAACATCACAGCTACACAGGGACTAAACCAGTCCTCAGCTAAACATCACAGCTAAACAGGGACTAAACCAGTCCTCAGCTCTACATCACAGCTAAACAGGGACTAAACCAGTCCTCAGCTCTACATCAGTTACACAGGGACTAAACCAGTCCCCAGCTCTACATCACAGCTAAACAGGGACTAAACCAGTCCTCAGCTCCACATCACAGCTATACAGAAACTTAACCAGTCCTCAGCATTACACACCTTATCATCATGTAGAGGGACTAAACCAGTCCTCAGCTTAACTTTAAAGCTAAATGGGACTAAACAGTCCTCAGCTTAACATCAAAGCTAAAGAGGTACTAAACCAGTCCTCCATTCAACATCACAGCTAAAGATTAACTAAATCATTCCTCAGCACAGTAACACATAGCCCATTCCCATGTGTAGAGGAACTAAACTAGTCCTAAGCTCAGTAGCACACAACTTATATTGAGGGACTAAACCAGTCCTCAGCTCAGTAAAACAGCTGAACAGAGACTAAACCAGTCCTCAGCATGACACACCTTATCATCATGTAGAGGGACTAAAGCAGTCCTCACGTCAACATCACAGATAAAGAGGGACTAAACCAGGCCTCAGCTCAACATTACTGCTAAAGAGTGACTAAACCAGTCCTCAGCTCAACATCACAGCTAAAGAGTGACTAAACCAGTCCTCCGCTCAACATCACAGCTAAAGAGTGACCTCAACCAATCCCAGCACCGTGGTCGCTCTCTGCCTCCTCCAATGTCATCTGATGGGGGACCCAATGCACATGCATGTCGAGCGCCATGCACGCATTAGGCCTCAATGCTTTCCTATTGGGTTTTCTCTGATGCAGGACGTCCTCATACGGAGTGAAACTTCATGAAACAAAGCGCTTCAAGTACATCAATGTAAACATTGCTGTTTCTTGAAAAAAACTGCAATGTTTACATTGAAGGACTAAGGGGGACAGGGACATTGTACCCAGACCGCTTCAACGAGATGAAGTGGTCTGGATGCCTACAGTGTCCCTTTAATGTGAAAATCTAAATATGAACTAGGAATATTTAATTTTCAAAAATCTTCTTTTTCAGCAAAGAATTGCTAGGAATTAAAAGTGAATTTAAAATATAGGGACAAAATAGCCAAAAAGAAAATAATAGTTGACTTGGAGATTTATTCTACTTCAGTCATTTTGGGAGAAATTTGGAAGTTCACTTTGAATCGACTTTGAATTCCAGGCATAGATCTTTAGTGAAAAACTAAAGTGAATAACTTTAATGAATAACTCTGAGAGAGTCTAACTGATCAGGTATCTTTTCCTCACCAATGCCTTGATTACATGTGTTATTTTAGTGTGAAATCTTTAATTGAAATTACTGGTATAGATAACCATAACAATTGAAATAAATACATATGAAAATTTAAATAGACAAGTAAACAATTTCCTAAGACTCTTTTGCTCCGTCACCCTGACCTTCGTGCTGCAAGGGAGCTTGTGGTCTGTTTCTTTATATGGGTGCAGATCTCGGTCTGTGCTCCCTTACAATCCTGTACTTTCTAGAGCAGGGGTCAGCAACCTATGGCACAAGGTGGTTGTGCACTGCACCCAAGGATGCTAGAGCCAAATGGGATCTGGCCTATCAGGAGACTCGAGCGGTGATTGCAGGTGGTGAGGCACAATCCTCAATTTATGCACTGCAGCTCTTAGAGGAAGGGATCTCAGAGCACTTCCTCACTGCACTTGCGAACTTGGTATAGACACTGAATTAGTGCAACTTACAGCAGATATTGCTGCTTCTGCCCTTGAGCTGTACCTGGCCAACCCAGCCCCCAGTGGACCTCAGGGAAGCCACCCATACTGCTAGATATACAAAGAGCTGCAGAAGATACAAATAATCATACAAATAATCCAAACAGCCCATACAGAAACACACAGTCCCCACAAACACACCACTGACAATCAACATACATGCACACAACTCCGCAAGCAGCCTCTCAGATGCAATACAATAAACAGCTCCACACATACACACACCACCAAACACAATGTGACATATCCAGAAACATAATTCCTCAAGTAGCCCCCATCACAGCCCACATTCATAGGTATCATACACAATACCACAATCTACTCAAGAACATATACAATATAACAGCCCACATATGCACAAATATAATGCTACAAAGCAACACAAGCAGAATATGGCAACATACATACCTCCAAACATAGGGCCCTACACTATCAGCTCAGTACTCTAATTCATTTGAGTATCCAGCTGACCAAACACTCCACCCAACGTATCACAAGGAATCGTGCACTCCTTCTATCTAAGGGTCTGTTAAAATAGAGTGGACAACATTTACCAGACACAAATACATTTGCAGTCTTTATGCACACACAACTCCCAATAAAGACATGCATAAGAAACTCTTATTATACACATACAGCCTCCATAAACAACTTCAGTCACACACTTCCCATCACATATATGCAATCCACAATTTATACAGGTAACTTCAAAATATAACTTCCATTACAAATATGCTGTCATACACTGACATACGGAATCCACATACACACACAACTCTTACACAGAGCACATTTCCAAATTCCTTCTCACATATGCATTTCCACCACAGCTAGTATCACACAGGGAGTCAAACCAACTCACATGACACACATACAGACCACCACCACCCCCTAACACCCTCCCCCCACGCACACACACACACACACACAATTCCTGTTACACATTTGTAGCCACAAGCACAAAACAACATTACATAGTTGAGGTGGGTTAAGACGGTCAGAGACAGAGGAGTAACAAAATAGAGGTTAAAAAAAGCTGGGAGAACAGAGGCAAGTACAGCATTAGATTGTGTTAGAATTACTTTTCTTAGAGTGGTAAAAATCCATGCATCAAAACATGCCTGTTAACATCTATCTCACTGTATAATTAACCAAAATGCAGCTGCAATCATTGTTCGTGTTTAATTTTATAAAATGTAAATAATATAATTTCACATAAAAGTTAAATGCAAAAAAAAGGCAGTTCTTTCCTTCATACCCACAAAATATATGCAAGTAGCAAGCACTTCCATGGTGTGGTTTTCATGTGTTGCATTGCTGTCACTTAAAGGAACATATAGGCACCTAAATCACTTCAACCCATTGAAGTGGTCTTGGTGCAATGTATCTGTCCCCCTAACCCTGCAATGTTAATTATTCGGAACTACAATTACATTGCAGGGTTAAGACTGCCTCTAGTGACAATCAGACAGTCACTAGAGGCACGTTATGCTTGCTAGGTAACTTTTGTTCACTTAACTGACCCTGGATGTACTCACACTCTGCATGTAGACATCCAGCATCAGTAAAATCCCCATAGGAAAGTATTGCTTGCTTTCTCATGGGGAGGGCCTAATGTGCTTGTAGCACTTGCCACACATGCGCATTAGCCCCCCTGGTTGGATGACATTAGAGGCGGCAGAGCACCGACTCAGCGCTGGAATTGGGTGAGTATAGTAAGTGTTTTTAACCCTTACAGTTCCAGGGGGTAGGGGCATAAGGGGGGAGGCAGAGGGAGCTATAGTGCTAGGAATACAACTTTTTATTCCTAGCACTATAGTATCCCTTTAAAGCGACTATGTCACCATTTGAGTAAGACCCAGACAATTCTGCATAATTTGCAAAAAAACCCAATGTTGACTGCTCCACTGGCATTACGGTGGCCAAATGATGCCACCGTATACTTATCTAAACATGTCCCTCATGGCAGCACTGTATTTATCACAAGGCTAACAAGGCATTTGCCTTGGGCGGCACTTTTTAGGGGGAGGCAAAATGCCTTATTAGCCCAAGTCATGAGACGTGCTATGTGGAGGAGCAGGAGTCGAGTGACTTCAAGCTGAAGCTCCTGGGCAGTTGCAGGCAGGAACCCCACAAAGCGGCAGTCTGCTTCTCCTGGTCCAGTTCAAAGCTGAAGTAGGTGTTATAAAATATGGTGAAGGGACTAAAAAAAATAAAAGTCTTAAATGTTTGTATCTTTTGTTGTTATTTTTTTATTAAATTTATTAATGCATGTTTTAAAAATAAAAGCCTTACTGTCATGGAGCTTGGCCACTTCCTAGGAGGTGAGCAATTTTTGTTGTTTTGTTTTTTATTTTTTTGACATTTTCACCCCCTGACAAATGTGTATACTAACACACCAGGCAGCTACTCCAAACACCAGCTCCTAGTGAGAGAGACTGCTTTCCAGAGTCACTTGGGGAAGACCAGTTCTGCACCTAACGAAAGGTAAATTTTTAGTGCTTACAGGAACACTATAGTGCCAGGAATACAGATGTATTCCTGACACCAGAGTTTTAAAAGCAATATTTATCCCTCCTGCCCCCCTGTTAGAGGAGTAAAAAGTGGCCCCCTACTCCGCTCCGCCTCCTGGGCGGAGATTATCAAATTTGACGGTCTCAGCCAATCCAATGTTTTCCCATAGAAAAGCATTGGTAGGCTATTGCACATGCACGACAAAGCGCTGCATCAATCAGCATCTGCTGATGCATCTCTATGATAAATGTTCATGGAGACGCTGAGCATCTGTGCTGCACAGTGTGTTGCGCTGACCCAGGAAGCACCTCTAGTGGCCAGCTGAGTGACTGCCAGTGTTGGTTAAACAGTGTGTGTGCCAATGACTGTGTCTGTCAGTGAATGTATGTCAGTGTATGTATCCGTGAGGCAATGTATTGTCTATCAGTCAAAGTGTGTTTTGGTCTTAAATAGGAAGAGGTACGGCCTTGACAGGATGGTGTGGGGCAAATTTAGACTAGGGGGTGCTTGAGTTTAGTCATGCCTAGGGTAGCACAAAACCAAAATACACCACTGTCTTATGGCCGCCAGTCCTCTTTAGCTCCTGGCATTTCATAGACCACACTGAGGTCTATGGAGGATCCTCTAAAGAGAAAGCCTATTTCACCATAGTGGTTATTAGTGACAGCTGAGGGATTGACATAGGTAGCTCCATCTTTTGTCAAGCTTTTGCCAAGTGTTGCAAAAATACTAAGACAATGCAATTGCTACTTTGTCTTAGTATATCTTTTGATTGTTAAGGGGAATTTCAGTTTTTGTTTTTCATAAAGATTTTGGATGGGAAGTTAGGGGTGAGACAGAGCTGCCTAAATCTATTTATATAGCGCCAACAGATTCCGTAGCGCTTTACAATATTATAAGAGGGGGAACGATAGGTAGTTGAGGACCCTGCTCAAACGAGCTTACAGTCTATAGGAGGTGGGATGTAAAACACAATAGGACCGGAAATAGCAATCAAATAAGGTGGGAGTGAATCAGAGTTGGAGGAGAGTGCTGCCCTTTAGGATAGAGCAGGAGACAGGTATATAAGGTAGAGGTTATTCTGGGAGGCCATTAGCTTGCCTAAAGAGATGGGTTTTAAGGCAATTCTTAAATGATTGAAGACTGGGGAGAGTCTGATGGCGGAAGGCAGGCTATTCCATAGGAAGGGAGCTGCCCGTGAGAAGTCCTGCAAGCATGAGTTGGCCACATTGAATTGACTCTTATAGGATACAGGAAGCCAATGTAAGGACTGATAGAGGGATGAGGTGTGAGAGGACCGACTAGAGAGGAAAATCAGTCTGGCGGCAGCATTCATTACAGACTGTAGCGGGGCAATACATTTTTTTGGAAGACCAATTAGGGGAGGGTTACAATAATCCATGCAGGAAATTACTAGAAACAAATAACCACTACCATTTAGTGCCTACAGAAATTGGCACTACCGGTATAGGTAAACCCACATGGTACCTAATGGAGGCTCCAAGGGTCTCCAGGGGCCTAACCCCAAAATTGTATATAGAAAAAAAAGGGATGAAACGTACAGAGAAAAACAGCTGCAAAAAGCAGGTGTATCCAACTGCATGAATCTGGAGCAAAATAAAGTAGTCTCACAGACAAATATAGATGAATAAATAAAAAAATATATATATAAATCTCCTTGTGATGATACAACTAAAATATAGATAGACTAATAGTATCCCTTATCCCTAATATGTAGTATACATATGTAAAGACCAAAGTAGAACATCCAAAATGAGCTTTAATAAATCTTGCTCTAATGTGTCCTCTAAAATATCAAGTAACTGACAAGGAAAGGAAATTACTAAAGCATGGACAAGCGCCTTAGTAGCATCTTGCGTAAGAAAGGGCCGGATGTTTTTAAGATGCGCACTTACAAGGATGGACTGATGTGGATACCACTTGCTTGAAGGGAGAGCGAAAGAGGAGGATCAGTATTAGGAGGAGGAAAGACAAGGAGCTCAGTTTTAGAGAGATTTAGTTTCAGAAAGCAGAAGGACATCCAGTCAGAGATGGAAAAAAGGCAAGCAGTGACACGTTGCAGGACGGCAGGGGAGAGGTCCAGGGAGGAGAGATATATCTGTGTGTCATCAGCAAACAGGTGGTAGTGGAATCCAAATGAGGTAATCAGTTTGCCAAGAGAGGCTGTATAAAGAGAATATAGAAGGGGACCAAGGACAGAGCCTTGGGGGACCTTAACCAAGCCAGGATGAAGGGAGGAGGTATAAAAAAGGAGACACTGAGTGTTGGGAGAGATAAGAGGAAAACTACGAGAGGAGAGAGTCACAGAGACCGAGTGATTGAAGAGTTTGAAGAAGTAGAGCATGATTAACTGTGTCAAAGGCAGCAGAGAGGTCAAGAAGAATTAGCATGGCGTAGTGGCCTTTTAATTTAGCTGTGATTAGGTCGTTAGTAACTTTGATAAGGGCAGTCTCAGAAGAGTGGAGAGTGCAGAAGCCAGATTGAAGAGGGTCAAGGAGAGAGTTGGAATTGAGACATATCGGTAAAAACAAGTCTTTTCAGAAGCTTTGAGGAAAAAGGGAGAAGGGATATGGGACGATAGTTAGAGGGGGAGGACAGTTCTAGAAATGTTTTTTTCAGGATAGGTACTACAGTGGCATGTTTAAGGTCAGCAAGGACAACGCCAGAAGAGAGAGAGAAGTTGAAGATGTGTATTAAGGAAGGCACAAGACAAGGGGAAAGAGATCTGATAAGGTGAGATGGGACAGGATCAAGCGAGCAAGTGGTGGCTTCGAGAGGAAAGGAGAAGCGCAGCCAATTCTTGTTCAGTAGCCAGGGAGAACATCTGAAGGGTAGGAAAGGCATGTTCTACTTGTGGTTGAGAAAGAGAAAGGCAGGGTGGGGAGAATTCTTTCCTTAGCTGTTCAATCTTGTCGGTAAAGTAGCATGCAAGGCTATCATAACTTCTACAACTCATTTTTAGTTGTTTTGGTACTGTGCTGTCCCCCATTTTTCTGCAAAAGTTTTGGAGTGGTTTAACAGCCATATCCTGGCCCTCTGCATGCACATGGAGACGGCAGAGTGACACTTCCTCGTTATATGTACAAATCTGTTCCTCGGGCAGCAGGTATCTAGATAACTCGATCTAACATTCTCAGCCTATCATGTTGGATAAATTATACAAACGTATCATTTCTGACTACAAAAGGGATTAGGCGTTCTCTGCAAGGAAAAGCCTTTTTTTTTTTTTTTTTATCAAGCCACTCCATGGTTTGAAATAGAACCTTGGGACAGGGCCAATTCCACCATGGAATATATAAGGGATTTAAACATGATTGAAGTCTGCTAAAATTATATTTTCATTATCATTGAAATATGAACATCTAATTGTAAACATCTGACGATTCTGCAAAAAGACATCACAAACGAGAGTGCTGTGAGTAAAAGGAGCTGATTTATCTCGGTCTAAGATGTTAAACGGAAGATAAAACACATGCATGAAATAGAAGAGGTCAGCTGAGCAGCTAGAGATTTTCCATGCTACTCTGACACTGAAGCCTAGCAACTCCCAGCAGCAGGAAGCTTCTTCCCCTGCACACAGGCTCAACCCACATGACAGACAGTTGCCATGGGACTCACAGGCCTGCGTCACAAAAAAAGGAAATTTAACTAATGCATTCCCTATAATGGCCTACAATGTACTCGCTTGTATAACACAGATTTCAATACAAAACCAGATACATTTACTTACTCTAGTTTCTCTAAATAATGTGAGGACAGATAAGCAATCTTATGCCTGATAACAAATGTTATGATAGATAGATAGATAGATAGATAGATAGATAGATAGATAGATAGACTGACTGACTCTTAAAATAGCTCTGATATGGTAGACTGTCATTGGATAGATGATCTACACAGTATAATAATTTAACACATTAAGAGCCACTGATGAGCTATGATGTCATAGCAACCTGATCATTAGAGACACTGCTCTGAATGAATGACCTACTAATTCAACATTACTAGGAATTAGTGATGTCCCGAACTGTTCGCCGAACGGTTCGCGAACGGTTCGCCACGGACTCCAGTCAGCAGACACATTCCAGCCAATCAGCAGAAGACCCTCCCTCCCAGACCCTCCCACCTCCTGGACAGCATCCATTTTGAAGCTCTGCAGGAGGTGGGAGGGTCTGCTGCTGATTGGCTGGAATGTGTCTGCTGACTGGAGTCCGTGGCGAACCGTTCAGGACATCACTACTAGGAATATGTAGAGCTGCCGAGATAAGCAGGGCATTACATGCTGGCAAAGGTTTATTTATTTATTTTTTAAGCTTCACATTGTGATGATGGTGTTGACTAAAATGCGTCTTTGAAGGCAGAAGCAGTGAGCCCACAGATAACAACATTATTTTTTGTTTATAATTTTCTGAGGCATATATGCAGCAAATAAGAGATTAACATACGTGTTAATAGGAATAGATGGCTAAGAAGGCCCTGTCCAAGCAAACTTACTCTGTATAGGCATGTTACTCATCACCTGCTTTTAGGGCTTACATTATCTAGAACACATGCCTTTATACATTTGTTCTTTAAAAAATACACACAAACAGACACAAACACATACACACCTTACCATGGAGTTGTGTGTACAGTGCAACCGGTACTGCAGTACCACCCAGAGGTTGGTAATGATTGTCTCGGAGAAGGGTCTGTTTCACTGTGGACATACTGGTGATGTGTGGAATTGTGATTTTGTATCCTATCGTTTTGATATTTATATCTATTTTGCACACGCCAAGCCCTGTAGGTGAGGAATACTGAAAGAGGCAGAACTGTAGGCCTACCCAGAGCAGGAGTAACCATTAGACCATCTCAGGCAGTTGCCTAGGATCCAGGTGTTAGATAGGGGCATCAGAACCATGAACTTTCTTTTCTCCACTAAACATCCCTATGTGAAGAAGCTCCACCATCAACTTCAGGCGGTTCAGGCTATGTGGTCTATGGAGGCTCCTGTGGTCTGGCAGGATCCCCCATAGACCTCAGGGCATATGCCCCCTCATATATTCATAAAACTGATTTGTTGGTAACACAGTTTTAAGACCCAACAACCCCAACAATCTAATGAGAGAAATTGAGACCACCATGCCTACTCATAGGGATTTGATACAATCTGTCACCCTTCTGTTATTGAACTGCCAGTTATTGCTCCCTGTTGCTATTACTACCCTCTGGAATATCCACATTCAGTCCTTGAAATATCTGTTGTTAAAAAGGTACACCATTGGCACAGAGATCATTTAATTTCAATGAAACCCTGTAACTGAATTTTAACCCTGTAACTGAAAACATTGCCATTCTGTATGAACAGTATTGTTTACATTACAGAGTTACCATGCCAGGGTTGCCTATCCCTGATCTACAGCCAAAGTAGATGCCAAAGAGGTACAGCACGATTGTGGAGGCTGACTTTCCAAAGGTAAGCAATACTCACCTTTCAGACCCTTATATGGGGACGGACAGGGCAGGGTCTAAAGAGGTTGTCAGGACACTACAGCGTTAGGACTACAAGTTTGTGCCTGCACAGCAGAGAGACACAGATGACCAAACTTTATCATTGTCTCTAAATCCCATATACTTTTTCATCCAGTGCTCTTTTCTCCATATAGATTTATGAGAAACAAAACATTGTTATTGTAACAGTTGTAATGCTCTTAAAAAACAAAGAAACACATAATATACACATTTACATACAACTGAACTTTGATTTTATACCACTGGATTATCAAGAAAGCATTGCATCATAATTAAAAAAAAAAAAAGTCTGCATTGTCAGGGTGTATATATTTATAGATCTGACTTATTCATAAAAGCGAGTTGTGGTAAACAGAAATTAAATGAAAAATGTATGGCAAACTAGGAAAGTTGGAAATAAACGTCTAGCTCAGCTAATTTTCCGACTCACCAAATTTTGCAATTTTAAAAAACAATTGTTTGCTTCACATTTATCTGACGGCATTTGACAAAGCACCTACACAGAGGCTTATCTAAAGATCACACATATATTATGCTGGAGGTATCATTATTATTATTTGTGAGACAGGTCAAATTAGAATCAAAAAGAAAAGCCCTTTGATGCACTGCTCATTTTGCTGGCTTGGATCTTAATGTGTTGCTGCTTTCTCACAGCTCTCGTTGAGAACTAGAAATACCCAGCAAGGAGTGAGTTAACATTCTGCAAGTCTCCATCCCTCCCTTCTAGAAGGCTGGCACAGACTGAGAGAACTATGCTGGGAATAGAACTGTGTCAGCAGTATGACATGTTCCAAGATGACATGATTCCTTTTTCTTTGTGCTTAGCTTATTTTGAAGCAATAATTCATTATTTGGAATTAACCTCCTAAAATATGCCTAATGCTATGTAAAATATGATTTCATATACGTTAAATTATTACTTTATTAAGTCCAGCATTAATGTTAATTATATCTTTAAGAAAATGGAATATATACAATGTTTGATGTGGGCCTATGCAGAGCCTACAGATTAAAATGTTTGATAAAACATATTTATTCCTTTGGGCTAGCATCCTAATTTGCTATATACAATATTAACCAATAAGCAGTATTCCTCCTAAGGAGAGTGGAACTGTCTTGGAATGCCTGAATATTGGTTCTGCTATTATTATTTATTTTTACAATCCATAGTTTATATTTTATTAATTTATTGGCTCTGTCGCACATACCATGCAAAATCTTTTAACCCCAATTGTTCCACATGTATGGCACTATAGAAGGAATATGCAATGCGTACTTACTTACAGCATTTCTCAGCAGATGCCTGAGTGTGTATGAGCGTGCCATGGCATCATGTGCCAATGATGTTGCCCTGGACACAGAAGGTAATTTTTACTTACCTCCACTGCACTACCCACCCACCCACCCCTATTTCAATCGCATTTACTAGGATGGGAGAATGGGGATCTGTTACTTCCATAGAGGGGACAGTTTTGCTTGAAGCTGTCCTGCAGGGTGGCCAAAAGGTAGGCTACTAAAATTTAGGAACTAGAGTCAATACGCTGTATCATCAGTATAAAATGGATAGACTGTGTTACATGGTTTGTAGAGTTCAAGATGGGTATTGTTTAAAGGGGCATTCTAAAAATCATAATATAATCGGTCCGTACCTGAAAATGGTCCCTGTCCCTAACATAATACAGGGGATATTCGAAAAATTAGAATATCGTCCATTTGTAGTGATTATGGTGCTTGGAGTCTGCAGAAGCTGTCCCTCTCAATTCTATGTTAAACCAATTTTGACAAGCATAGCCAATTAATGCTTACCAAATTTGGACAAAATTTGTATGGTTAATGCAGAAGTGATACGTCTGCATTTACAATCCAGTGAGAGGCCGGCTTACAGGAACTAGGAGAATCCTTTGTTTTTGTCAAACCAGTGAAGATCGATTTGACACAGAACAGGGCGGCATTGTTTGCAGCCAACTAGCACCATAGCCACTACAACAGGCCATAGTGTTTATGGTGCTTAGAGTTCCCATTTTAACTATGTTTATTACCGTTGTTACTGGGCTGGTACTGTACAACAGTGAAAGTGGTAGCATGAAGAAGTACTTTAGCCATGTTTACAAGACTAAATTAATGTACTTTATGTAAGCACCACATCAGATGACTGATAAAAAGTCAATTACTCAAGAAACAAAAGACAGATGTTTCAAATATATATGCTGATTACATATCCATCCAGCAGCTTTCAACAGTCAGCCTGGAACTCTCTTTCCAGGCTGGCAAACATCAATTCCGTGCATATTCCTTGCACAGACATTTATTCATTTGCTGAGAACGCTTCGCTGAAGAATTCAGCCAATGAATGACTGGGAAGAATTATGTCCGGTTTCTGCAGATCTGCAAGTTGAAACCATTCCGGCATTGAGAGAGGCATGATGCCCAGCAACAGCCAGGTTAGATGCAAACTGTTATTGAGAAACGGCACCAGGGTACTCCTGGCATCATTATAACTATAGTGGGCTGTAGTGGTTATGAAATTCGGATTAACTCTTTAAACAGTTATTTCCAAGTACTATTAGTACCAATTAAAAGAGTTTATTTTAATGTGAGTGTTTATGGGTTTATTCACTAAACAGAGAAATTAAAGATTTTAGGACAAAAGTAATGATCAGATTTACATTTTCCTGATCTCAGCTCTGTTTCCAGCTTCACCAATTTAGGTCTAAAAAATATAATTCCTTTGCCCTTCCCTCACAATTTTCAGTTTATGGAATAATCCTCCACAAGTTTGTTTGAATGCTGAAAAAAAACAATAGAGTAGGAAAAATTTTTCAACATAGCTCTATTGGCCAAAACACTGATATTCCCTTATGCCTAAAATTCTCGTCAAGTAAATAAATCTGACCCAAAAGCAGGCAGCTTGACTAATGAAAACAATGAACAAAGATATTTTCATAATGTACCATAGGCTACAACTTAGCTTGTGTGCCACTTCATTCACATTATCTCAGCTATGCCAGTGTGAGAAGTTATACAAGCTATCTCTTAGAAATCTATGAGACAAGTGATATAGTCTCTCAATAAATAAATACAGTAGAATAGAGAAAGGGCAGAGGGCTGTGCAGATGGAGAACATTAATTTAATATTGTAATAGAAAATGCATTTAAAAACTTGCTAATACAAAAAATAGAAATAATCCTTTAAATGTCCAGATCTTCTACTGATGTTCAGCATCCCTTTTAATTCTGGTATCTAGAAATGTGCTGATGTAAATAAAAATGTTGTGTTAAAAGTGTAAATATTGACTTTTAGGATGTTTTAAGCAACAACTTCTGCCTAAGCGTCACAGTCTGGTTGAAGGAAATGGTCATTTTTAAAAACTCCCACTTCTATTTTTACATCATATAAATAGACTTGGCAGATAAAAATGGTTCCCTGTGTATATTAAGCAACCAAATTTCCCTATAATCTTCTTTGATATCACCTCCGTTTTTCCGTGCTGGCTATAAAAGAAGGAATCACTTTGAATTTTAACCGACAAAAAACTGTAAGTAAGCCTTCAGTGGATCTGATTTTTATTTTTATAGAATGTGAAGAAGCTAAATCAGCCACGTGTCTTTTTAGCATCCTGTCTCTGTTCTTCCTCTAGACTTTCACAACTCTGCCTGAAGATATAATCTGGCTCATCAACAGTCTGCATTTGGATCATCCCAAAGGGAGACCTTTTTTTGGACTAAAACAAACCGAAACCAAACTGGAGTAATTTATAAAAAAAAGAAAATTCATACATTTACTTAACATTAAGGGTCAATACATGTCACTACCATCAATAATGGATTACATATAGCAAATCATGGCAAACACCCAGTAAGTGAGACAGAGCACTTCACAAAGCACACTGAAAACTGTGACCTAGAACTCCCATAGATACCTGAGAATTAAAGAAGAGCTTCCTAGAGGATGGATAAGTGCATTTGGAACAAGTAGAAAAAAAATAAAACCAGTTTTCAACAGATGAAATCCAGGTTCTATAAAAAAGACATGATATTGATTACGTAAGAGAAAACAAAATGGTCCCTGTCACTAACATAATACAGGTGATACTCGAAAAATTAGAATATCGTGCAAAAGTTCATTTATTTCAGTAATGCAACGTAAAAGTGAAACTAATATATGAGATAGACGCATTACATGCAAAGCAAGATAATTCAAGCCATGATTTGTCATAAGTGCGATGATTATGGCTTACAGCTCATGAAAACCCCAAATCCACAATCTCAGTAAATTAGAATATTGTGAAAAGGTGCAATATTCTAGGCTCACAGTGTCCCACTCTAATCAGCTAAGTAAGCCATAACACCAAATCTATACACCAAAACTGCGTCATTAAGCTAAAGTTGTATTGGTGATTATAGTGTCCATTTAACGTTAGAGAGGGGTTAATGTCAAGAGTTATATTTCATAGGGTGTTTAGTGTTAAAAAGATTAACAACTTCAGAAGGGTTAACATTGTAGTATAATAGCTATATACAATTATTCAGTTTATGGCTAAAGTTGGGTTAAGTTTAATATTTGGGTGCATGAGGTATTTAAATTTTAAAGTTAAACATAGGATCAAGGTAAAGGGTTATTATCAGGTTTACAGTGCTGAAGGATTACTTGTAATAATGTCTTCTATTATCTAGTCAGATGATGATGTTAGAGCTGCAGGAGTGGTTATACAGTGTTCATCACTGAGAGCTTCCCCTGTTTGTTGTGCAAGATAATGCATCTTGGATGTAAAAGCCCAAGGGCAGAGTACAGAATATTTGATAGAGTCCTAACCTCAACATATGAGGAAAGGGATTTAGGGGTGATTATTTCTGATGACTTACAGGTAGGCAGACAATGTAATAGAGCAGCAGGAAATGGTAGCAGAATGCTTGGTTGTATAGGGAGAGGTATTAGCAGTAGAAAGAGGGAAGTGCTCATGCCATTGTACAGAACACTGGTGAGACCTCAGAGGATATTGATACCTTAGAGAGGGTTCAGAGAAGGGCTACTAAACTGGTTCATGGATTGTGGGATAAAACTTACCAGGAAAGGTTAAAGGATCTTAACATGTATAGCTTGGAGGAAAGACGAGACAGGGGGGATATGATAGAAACATTTAAATATATAAAGGGAATCAACACAGTAAAGGAGGAGACTATATTTAAAAGAAGAAAAACTACCACAACAAGAGGACATAGTCTTAAATTAGAGGGACAAAGGTTTAAAAATAATATCAGGAAGTATTACTTTACTGAGAGGGTAGTGGATGCATGGAATAGCCTTCCAGCTGAAGTGGTAGAGGTTAACACAGTAAAGGAGTTTAAGCATGCGTGGGATAGGCATAAGGCTATCCTAACTATAAGATAAGGCTAGGGACTAATGAAAGTATTTAGAAAATTGGGCAGACAAGATGGGCCGAATGGTTCTTATCTGCTGTCACATTCTATGTTTCTATGTTTGTTCATACTGCAATGCATTTCCTGTGTGAGAGTTAATAGGTAGATGCAGGGGCGTACCTAAAGCATTTGGTACCCACTGCAGGTCCTATTTTTGGAAGACCCCCTTCCTCAGCTTTAAATGTAAAAAACAACCAAAATTATTATTTTAAATGTATTTAGCACTGAGCAGTGTTTGTGTGTTTGAATGTATGCATGTGTTTGTATGTAGTGTAGGTGTTTCAATGCAAGCATGCATTTGTGTGTTGTGTGGTATTTGAATGCAGTGGTATGGTTATATATAATGGTGGGGTTTGTATGTAGTGTTGACGTTGAAATGCATGAGTGTATTTGTGTGTAGTGTTGGCGAGATTTTGAGATGTATGCACATATACATACAACACACACATTATTATTATTATTATCATTTATATAGCGCCAACAGATTCCGTAGCGATTTACAATATTATGAGAGGGGGGATTTAACTATAAATAGGACAATTACAAGAAAACTTACAGGAACGATAGGTTGAAGAGGACCCTGCTCAAACAAGCTTACATTCTCTAGGAGGTGGGGTGTAAAACACAATAGGACAGGTACATAAACGCACTTGCAGATACACAGAAACATAGCCACACACAGATACACAGACACACATGCAGACATCGTGGCGACTCTAGGAATAATATATGAGGGGACACACGTAAGATAAAACAGTCATAACAGGGGGCGGGGTAACCGGGGGATTGAGCAGTAAAACTTTTCACTAGGGGATGGTGTAATATGCTGCCATTGGCTGTCTGATGCCAGCATGTTGTGCTCTGACAACACATTAGCATAGAATTCATGTTAGCCACCCAGATTTCTTGTTGTGGGCTGGCTGACACCTCTTAATTTCGATTTTTGTTTATCAGATAACTATTTGCTATCCTTATGTGGGATTGCCATATTTAAGAACACCAAATAAGGTGCTATCTGCTAAACAGAACGCTCATTTGGTATCTTTAAATATGGAAATCTCACATAAAGGCACCAATTCAGGGAATTATCTACTAAACAGCTAAAGGATCACAATTTTAAAAGCCCTTTTCTTAATTTCAGATGTTTAGCAGATAAATCCCTTATTTGTTGTCCTTATGTGGGATTGTAATATTTAAGGACACCAAATAAAGGAGCTATCTACTAAACACATACACAGAGATACACACAACCACACACATAATCACAGACATACACAAACACAATCCCAGACCCACACACATACAATCACAGACACACAATCACATACACACACAAACATTACATACATACACGCATTTAATAATTAAGAGGTCCACCCAGCCTCCCTACCTTGCTCTAGAAGGGCTGGACTGGATCCTCAGTCCCTGGTGGTCAGTGGATGTTGCTGGGATCTCTGTGTTCTTCCTGCACAGGTCCCTCTCACGCCCTGCAATGACGCAGAGGCCGCAATGACATCATATCGCGGCTGTCGGGCTCACTGCAGGACGAAGACCATCAGACACGGTCAGATGCACACAGTCCCACACACATAGTCACTCACACACAGTCACACAAGCAGACAGTCACACATACCAACACACACAGTGACACACACACACAATTACAGGCAGACAGACACACACACACACAGGCAGACAGTCACAGGCAGACAGTCACACACACACACACACACACAGTCAAAGACAGTCACAATCACAGTTACACACAGCACACACTCTCTCTCACTTCAGTCAGCTTGGGCTTGAGGAAGAGTGGATTCAGTCCTTGGTGTGTTGTAGTTGGGGAAGCAGGGTCTCCTTCCTGCTTCCCCTCTGTGTGCAGCAGTAAGAGGCTGCCTTTAGCTCCACCCCTATGGTCAATCTGGCCCCGCCCCAATCTTTCCGTGCTGGTCTCCTGTTCCTGCTCCCAGCCCCTGCGTGTATGAGCTGCGTCGGCTGCCTGGCGCCCATGCTGCTATGGCGCCCTGTGCAGCCACACAACTCACAGAACCCCAAGCCTGGCCAGCCTGGTGGCACCCCCTACCTGATGGCACCCGGGGCGGACCGTCCCCTCCCACCCTCCCTTAGTATGCCACTGGACAGATAGAAAGGGATTCTTTCTACTTCCTGTCCAGCTTCACAACCAGACATTGGAGAAGCTGGGACAGTGCTAAATTTGAATGCATCTCTATGGGGAACATACAGCACCTCCATGCACGCAGAGAGTTGAGACACTGAACGGTAGTAATGCACACTGTGCAGCACTGGTGTTGAGGCGCTGAATGCTAGTGCTGCACACTGTGCAGCGCTGAATGCCAGTGCTGCACACTGTGCAGTACTGACACAGGAAGCACCTCTAGTTGCTGTCTGAGTAACTGTCACTAGAGGTGTTACTAAGAACCAATGTAAACCTGCCTTTTCTCTGAAAACATTTATTAGCCTCAAGGGACAGGTTATAGGCTATACATTGCAGGATTAAAGGACCACTATAGTGCCAGGAAAACATACTCGTTTTCCTGGCACTATAGTGCCCTGAGGGTGCCCCCACCCTCAGGGTCCCCCTCCCGCCGGGCTGGATGGCAAGGAAAGGGGTTAAACTTACCTTTTGTCCAGTGCCGGACGGGGAGCTCTACTCCTCCTCTCCGCCTCCGATCCTCCTCTTCGGCTGAATGCGCATGCGCGGCAGGAGCTGCGCGCGCATTCAGACAGTCTCATAGGAAAGCATTCATAATGCTTTCCTATGGACGCTAGCGTCTTCTCACTGTGATTTTCACAGTGAGAAGCACGCAAACGCCTCTAGCGGTTGTCAATGAGACAGCCACTAGAGGTTTTAGAGGCTGGATTAACCCTATTTATAAACATAGCAGTTTCTCTGAAACTGCTATGTTTATAAAAAAAAAAAAAAAGGGTTAATCCTAGAGGGACCTGGCACCCAGACCACTTCATTAAGCTGAAGTGTTCTGGGTGCCTAGAGTGGTCCTTTACGACTGCCAGAAAACCACTACAGGCGTTTTATGGCTTTTTACAGAGTTTGCATTGACATTAGAGGAGGAAAAGACAGAGCCAACACAGAGGGGTCTCAGCACTGACTATATAAAAGAGAAAAGGGGTGGGGGGCAGACTTATAGTTAATTGAAAATGGCCATTACAGCATTAGGAATACAGATTTATATTTTTAACTATATAGTGTTTCTTGAAGGCTGACTGGACTACAGAGGACACTGGCCAAGGTTCCTGGTACTTATCTTTCCCCACCATATTATTTAAGTTTAAAAAGGCATATTATACTATATGGATAATTGTGGGACAAAATATTACATGAAAACAAGCACTCCCTAGTGGTCAGATGCCTGTAGGCAGGTGCCTATTCTGCCTAATGGGAAATCTGGCCCTGACACTGGTGTGGTTATGGTGCCAGGAATGTAGTAAGAGGTTGAACTGTTTTTTGCATGTCTGTCAGCTCAGCAATCATTCGCAGTCAATGAGTGTGATCCTGCATGACCTTTCTTTTCTTTATAGAGTTTACCAGATTCTCCTGTGTGAAGAATGTAGAGAATGTGGCTGCAGTTGGCTGGCGGGACTCAGGTAAGTTGTCAAACTGTACTAAAATGGTTTGACATCTTACTTTGAGACAGTGCCAGACCACCCCTGGCACCATAACCACTAGAATGGTAATGTTCCTTTAAGTAAAAAGTACAAAGAGGTAAATAAACCTGCAACACATCTGCATCAGCTTACATTCATTGTTTGTGTGTTTGTATTCTTTTTATTAGTTAGGTTATACAAGCACTGTCTTATACATCTTCATAAACAAAAATAACCTCCATCCACTAGCCCAGTGCTCGACAAATCCCAGGTGCCAGGTCTCCATGGTGACTAAAAATTGTGTCCTGGCACCTGGGTGTTTGTCAGCGGCCAGCTAAGGCAGGATGCTCTTCTTGCACTGCTACCTTGCATACCCTGCAGTGATGCTGGGATATGATGTCACTCTGGCCCGGGCATCACTAAACAGCAAGGAAGCAGAGCAAGAATACTTGAAGACTTCAGCAGCCACACTGAGCCTCATGGAAAGGATCCACTCCTAACTTTGTTTAGCTGGCTCTTAGACTTCAAGCAAATTTGCAAGCCCTGCAGTACCCAGTACCTGCAATGTACTGTGATAATATTCTACATATTTTTATGTATGATGTTATTATTTATATTCTTATAAATGATGTTTATACTTCATGCTTGTGGATTAAGGCATAAATAAAAAATCTAAAGAAAAAAAAAGTACAAACAGCAGAGTGGCATATTACTGGTCCTTAGAGGTGGCTAGGTTTACAGAGTGACTATAGTTACGTTAAACAGAATACTTATGAATAGTTAAGAGTAGTCAAAAACAAGACAAACTAAAAACATATAAAAACAAGAACAATTGAGAGAGTAAGTAAGTCAGGAATATCAGAAATCAAGATAAACAGATAAACACTAGCCTTATTAATACCAAAAAATACATAAGGGAATGGTAATATGGTAAAATAGGAACAACGACAGGGTAAAGACAGGCCAGACTGAAGGATTTGAATAGACTATACTGGAACATCATAGACCAGCCACATTCTTGAGACCCCATAACATACAAACCCGCCCTGACGTATGAATAACACATCTGAATCAGCGTCCATACTATTATGCAGTGCATTGAGTGAATCATAAAATGATCCTCAGGATCAGCATTAGGCATGTACATGACACCAGAGGCATAAAAACAGATAGGCAAGGCTGTTTCAGCAATGTGACCTTAAGATATACTCAAGGTTTTTATGTGCACACAATGGCGGTCAATGAGGTGACCATACTCATTTCTCATTGGCTATTTCCTAGTAGTATGATAAATATGTCAAATTTGCATCAGCTTACATTCATTAGTTTGTGTCTTGAACAGAATGTTTAACTCATGCAATGGCATTGTGGGTGGTGGATTTACCTATAGCAATTGAAAATTGGAGGATGGAGACTTAGTAGTAGGCTGTGCTACTCATGCAAGTGTCGCTCATTTGATAGGTTCTAAAGATAACACTTGAATGAGTTGATTATTTCAGATGTTGGCAGAACCTGTCAATACTGGAAAGCATCTGTCAAATTCTAATCACATGAAGGGGCAAATTGCTGCAATTCCTGCAGCAAAACTAGGAAAAGGCTGTGGGTGCATGTGCCCTGGGTGCCAAATGAAGATGGGTGCCGCCATCTGAGCCAGATTACCCACAAGTGTACTAACTAGGGACAGGGTGTGCCACTGTCTGAGCCTGAAGCTGCGTCTCTGATCGTGCTCCCCCCTCAAACACAGCCCTTTAAAATCCTTCTGTGGTGGTCTGTGGTTCCTCACAGTTACAGCACCTATGAGAGAGTCACAGCTTGAATCCGGACTTTCTCACAGAGCGCCAGACGGGAAAGCCTGCTGCTGCACCAGCAGCCTACTGGATCACCAGGGAATCCATCTGACCACAATGGCATTTATCAAAATTCCCCTTCCTGCCCAGGAGGTAAGTAGGGAAGGGGCAAATATATAGATATATATATATATATATACACATATAAACATTACAGTGTTTAATACAGTCTCCTCAATTACTTTAACTCCCCCCACACAGTTATCAATGCCTCGTCCTGCCACAGACACTCACCTCCTCCCACCATATTACACTCATCCCCTTGCAATACTAACCCTGTAACACCACCACTCACCCTGGCACACACTCTGTCACACTTGCCCCTAACTGTTACAATCACTCACGCACCCCAGCAACTTTCCCACTCACCTAACCCTGTTACACTAAGCCCCTTCATCCTGTCACACTCACCCATCCTCACCTTCAGGGCTGGCCTTAGGGGTGTGCGAGCTATGCAGCCGCACATGGTGCCATGGAGCACTCAACTCACAATGGCCTGGTGACAGTAGTGCAGGGGGAGCTGAAGCAGTTTCCCGAGACAGTGGGGACGGGTCTTACTGATTGATGGGGGCAGGGCTTATCACAAGGCAGAGGCTGGGCTTAAATGGGAGGGGAGCTGGGGCTAAAACCTACAAGAAGACCTTTGTAACTGCTGCACAGCAAGGGGGAAGCAGGAAGGAGTCCTTGCTTCCCCAACAAATAGATGACAGGAGCTGCACTGCCTCCACTCTCCCATCCAGCCCACAATGGAGATTTTTCGCACAAGATGCCTAATGGCTTAAGGCCAGCCCTGCTCACCCTGTCTCACCTACACCCAGACATGTATTCCTGACCCTATAGGGTTAAAACCACCATCTAGTCCCCCTGTCCCCCTCATGCCTACCTAAATATAGTATTGTATTCGAGTCTGCAGCTGCTTATTTTGTCCCTGTTTACTTTAGACCTCTGCCTCACTGGATAAGCGCCTGCTGACATCATCAGAAGTGGTAGCCTGATCCAATCACAGTGCTTCCCCATAGGATTGGCTGAGACTGACAAAGAGGCAGATCAGGTGCAGAGCCAGCACAATT